AACTTTGTTGTCTACATTGGGCACCATGAAGTCTCCATATAGAATAGGCAGTGAGGGCACAGCATCTTGAAACTGGATGTGGAAATCTGCCAGCATGTGTTCTTTCATTAAGTTGTCAAACCAGTCCCTGTCTTCATCATTCACCAAACGGTCCTGGAACACGCGGCAACTCTCGTGGTACCACAGCCGCAGGAATTCCTGTAGTGTCTGCAGTGGAATGGAATTGGAATCTTATAGTCATTGTTATCAAAATGACGGCTACAAAAAACTCTTAAATATGTTTTTTGACATTATCAGACATCCAGTATATAGATCTACAGATAAATTTTTCTGAACTTATATTAATTTCTGTCAACAGATTATTACTACAAGTTTAATAAAACATTATAATCATAGATATAGATTTGAAAATTTGTGTATAGACAGCTGGAAAATTCTGTCAAACATGATTTTTCAAAACTCCATAAAATCAACTTTACAAAACTTTCTATGTTTTAAATGAATGGATGAGTTAGTATCAGCTGTTAATGAGGCAGATTGGATTCATTACCTCCAGCTTAGCAGCGTCTGCCATGAGCATGCCCTGGAAGACTTTGGAGAGATCCCTCAAGTTGAATGTGTAGTGGCTCTTGGCTGGAGTTGGTAGCAGCTGTTTTAGAATGGTGTTGTACATATCGATACAGGTGTCTACCATTTGGTCACCATGGTCACGCACTGCGGGAGGACTGGCAGCTGTAAGGTGACAGAAAAAGTGTATTCAACATCAGACTTTAAGAGGCAAGTCTAAATAACTGGCTACATTGACTGCAACATTTACATTCAACTTCAACATTGCTCCCAATAATCTTGTTCAATATAAGATGTTTGCTGGAAGCTAAAAATACATGCTCATGGCAAATTTCTGAAAGTGACCAGTGCAAACTCAATTTAAAGAGACACAGTATAGGAATACAATGTTCTCACCTAAAAACCAGTTCAAGATGGTTCCAAAGATCGTCCGTTTGCTGTCATCCTCCAGGTCTGTGAAGGCCAGGTAGTTGAAGTGACGCAGCAGTCTAGGAGTGACTGGATTACGTCCACCACCAGGGGGACCCATTGCAGTCACGAAGTTCACATCAACAAGATGGCGGAAATCTCCTATGGCTTTTCTGTCGTACCAGCCTTTGAAGTCCATCCACTGTCTGATCAGCTCAATAGGCGGCTGGGCCCCATAAGTCTCCAGGGCAGGCATGTTCAAGTCATCAACAAAAAAGATGAAGTATTTTCCAAGAGGAGGTCCAAAAACTCCCTTTCGCCTGAAATAATAGAAAGAAAGAAAACTATAGGCATTGGTGCATAAAATTGGGATTTAATATACCATATCTTTAATATGAGGTAACATTACTAGCGGTAACAATGAATAGATTACCAAGAAAGTGTTTTATTTATAAGACTTAGAAGTGCTGTCTGGGTTTAGAATTAAAATACAAAACCACCATTACTACATAAGAATAATCCATAAAATATAATTATGCAAACAGTATTCACAATTTAGATTTTTAAAATTTCAACTTTCTACCTTTTGTCAAGTTTGCCATCAATCAGATCTTGTGTCTGGTTTGCGCTGGTTTTGGCAGAAAACACAATGAATTCTGGGATATACTGTTTTGGCATGCCTCTGCTCAGTTTGTCTGCCAGGGAGAGGGTCTTTCCTGTCCCAGTAGGACCCACACACAATACCTGGAGGAAAAATCATTGTCAAGGTTTACATTAATAAATTTCCAACTAAATTGGAAGGAAATTATCACTTCTGCATTGAAATTAACCTTAGGAAAGTGAAATATTTATCAATAAAAATGTAAACTATAACTTGTCTAGTGAAATTTCCCTTAAGAGAGTGAAATCCTTATCAATAAAAAAAACCTGAGGCAATATATTGAAAGAAAGCAAAAGAAAAAATATATATGGAAACCACAGAACATGAGCGTCAATTTTTGATTTTTGGTAATATTTTTTGTTTCAAAACTATGAATGAATTCTATTTCCTTTTTTCCCTTTTTAAATGGAACTTACTGTTTTATTGTTAGACAGAAGTATTTCAATGATGTATGCACTTCTGATGGTGTCCATGGTGGGCACAATGATGTCTGAGAACTTGCTGTCCGGGGGTATAGAGAAATGAGCACGGCCGTGGAACCAATCCAACCACTGAATCTAGATCAGAAAAATAAAAACACTCAAACTCTTTTTTTCCAATAAAAGGCCACAATTTGTTCCAAAATGGACTTTAAATTAATGTAACCATTGAACCAGAGCAGTAACATTTTTTCAATATAACAAACAGTTACATGTTATTTACCAGACTTCAAACTGGTAATTACAAGTAAGTGGATCTACTTCCTCTATGGATTGTGTCAAATTTCAACAAAGTGTTAGAAAATGCTTGCAAAATCTTGGTGTTTTATTTTGTACCTTGCGTTCTCCACCTGCATCCTCCTCCTCGTCGTCTCCATGGCCTCCACTAATGCCTCCATCATCCAACCTATAGTCATATACCAAGCCTTTCTCTGGGAATGGCATTGTGCACTGGAATAATTTTTTTTTATTTTTATGCATAAAAATATAAGGTTTTACATGAGAACATAATATGTACAGTTAATAAATAAAATTCACAAACTTCTTATTTTCCAGAAACACACCCAAAAAATGCCTCATCATCCAATTCATACCAAACATAAAGTCTGCTTTTGGAACAGACATAAATTATTTTCAGGTTTTATATTAATATAAGCGCGCGCGTGCGCGCGCGCACACACACACACACACACACACACACACACACACACACACACACACACACAAACACACACAAACACACACACACAAATAATGCCCACTTACATTTTCTTTCTTCATCTTCTCTCTGAGGTAATCGCTGAACTTCTTCCTTCCATCATTATCACAGGTGGCACCCACAGTCCAGATCAGGGAGAAGATAAACCAAGGCTCAATGAGATCCACAATACGCTCCAGTTGTTCCTCTGGCATTTCCTTTTCTCCCTGTGTTCATGTAAAAATACAAAGCATCCTGTACTTTCTTTTCTCAACTAGTGGACTCTCTTTGAGAGCTGCTAATATTTTGTGAAAAATGTGAAAAAGTATAATAATCATATTTTTCAATTGCTTCATAATCAAAGCAAAAGCCATGCCTTGTACATAATTAAATTGGTTGTCAATACCATTTAATAATCCAGGTATATCTATATGCATATGGGACATTGTTAATGATGTTTGAACCTAAATGCAGGACTATAAATGACACTATAAGTATCTTAAAATGTGAATATAATAGCAATAGGCTATTAGATGCTAATTATACAAGGTGTGTGTGTGTGTGTGTGTGTGTGTGTGTGTGTGTGTGTGTGTGTGTGTGTGTGTGTGTACGCACGCATGAGCACATGCAAATAGCATGATACTTTGATGATTGGATTCTAGATTCATACTTAGAAATTGCCTATGACTATATATAGCTATAATAGCTTTATTACTGGCAGATATCTATGAAAAAAGAATAAGGTTGCAATTTTGTTTATTATTTATCAATGATAATTGGGTAAAAGCAGGACTAGCCTAGTGGGATTTTTATACTGCCTACCCAACACCCCTGAAAAGCATGTTTTATATGCTTAACTACAAATAATACTCTCTAGACCTGAGTATTTCTTACCCGTTGATACTTCCCTGGTACCCTGTGCTATTTAAAATAAACCCCAAACAGATTAAAGCAAAACACAAAAATATGTTAAATTAAACATGACTGCAATAGAGAATTGGCTAAATGCCAATTAAGAGATCCAATAAAAACAGAAATAAACAAGTAACATCAAAGAAAATAACAGAAATGACTCTTCCATAAATCACTTCTGACTTGTATTGGGTTAAGAGAGAATGATTAATATTTTAAATACAACTCCACTTACTACTTCTTCTTCCTCATCACCCAATATTAAATGCTGGATGCACAGATAAAGACAGCAAGGAGAGAAGATGGAAAGTTAGGAGAAGAAAACAAAGACAAGAGAAGGACATAGATATGAAAAGTGTCAAATGTGAAAACAAAACTCACTGATCAAACATTTGTCATTAAATGTGATAAAAAAAGAGAAGTAGTACTATCTAAAATGGCTGTTCAAATATAAAGGAAACATGTAGGAAGTGAAAATATCAGGCTACCTCTGTGTACTTCATCACGTGATTATTTATAATTTAATATGATAAACTAGAGAAGTTGATGTTTATATCACCACACCCACCTCTTTAGGAATGAAGGGGGTGAAGTAGCATTCCAGCAGTTTCAACAAACTAAAGGTCAAGTTGCTGTCCATAGATGGCACAAATTCTTTCATATTGCCTCGCAGGAAATGAATGGAATCCTGAAAATTTCACAAACAAAATCATTTAAAATGTCACTGAGCATATATAAGCTCTCTGTAATCTATTTGCTAAAACAGGCAAAATATTAAATCTCATAATGCAAACACATGTTGATATATTACATGTTAACATGTTACATGAAATCCATATTTCTTTGTAAAATAGTAAAAATAATCAAAATAACAACAACACAATCTGGTTACCTCCAGAAATGCATCAAAGAGTGCCTGAAACTTGTCCTTGTGTGGGTATATAGCATCAGGCAGCCTCTTAAGCCAGCACTCTACAAATGGTGACAGGCCCAGAATACTGGGTTCCAGGTACACCATACCACACCTACTGACAGTGGCAGGGGAGGCCACTGCCAGGTCCTGCACTTCAAACATCATAGTCATGTGCTGGAAGAAACAACATATGTTAATTCTTAAGGTATTATGCTCAATTAAACAAAATGTGTTGAAATATTTCAAAGAAGACTAATAGATTTTTAATATGTAGTAATAACATGTAAAAGATGCTCTCACAATACAGAATTCAAAGTAAATACAAGAAAGAATTTTCAAATTATCCATAATGGTAGAATATGAATGGGCTTGTGAAAAAAAAAACAACTAACCTTATAAGATGCCCAAAACTTACAACACAAGAAAAAAAACATACGCGTTTTTAACAAACATGACTATTTGAAAAAAAAATTAGGACATCAGAAGTCAAACATTGTAGAATCCCAAATACCCCGAATGTACACATACACTTCTACATTATATACCTCAGTTAATTTGATGATCTCTCCACTGCTGAGACACAACTTCTTATTGTCATCCAGCACAGTGTTCATGTTCTCAATCCACACAGCATCCACAGGGCCATCAAACAGATACCAACGCTTGTCTGCATCCTGGGCAGAGCAGCCCTGTCTGATCAGAGTGGACAAGATCCCATCAGTCCTGGAATAAAAAGAAAAAAATAATAATAATAGCATATCCAGTAGAGCATAAAATAGGAGGAATATGATTTCATATATCAAATATACCAGTACTTACTGACCCTACCCACCTTACTCCAAAATTACTCATCATCAATGAATAACAGCAGTTAACAGCTACATGCATTGCTTTTGCAGGCAGTAACAAAAGGAAAGAAAAAAGGAAAAAAACACTTAGTCTAGTAGTTCAAATGCAGACATATAAATGTGCCTACCATTCGTGTGTCATGAGATCAAACTCTCCATACAGCTGCCCCATAGTGATGGACTTGGGGTTGAGGATATAGGTGTGGGTAGCCTCAAAGGGCACACCAGCTGGAGATGGTTCTCCCTTCAGTGAAGTCATGGCTTTCTGCAGGACCTCATAACACTAGAAATGAAAACAAAATGTGAAAATGTGCTAAAACCATTTGCAATTAAAAGGACTCTTGTAGCATAAAAGGTAACTATGATTCTTGTACTATCACAGCATAAACTGATGACACTTCACTCCACAACTGTCCATAGTATATTATGGCATTTTCTATAATATGGCATTATTTTGTTTATATATCCTCTTAAATTTAATTTCAACTTTTTTTTTTATTTTGCAATCTTAAATATAATGTATTCAAGGTCATACTTTTGTCTTTCCGGAACCAGTTGGCCCAACCAACATAAGTCCATGGCGCACAACAGTGGTCTCATAAAGCTGAATGCACTTGTGTAGGAATCCATCCACTTCTTTGATGCCGAGTTTGACACAGGACTTGTTGAGGGCTTCACTAAGAGCTCCATAGTCAATAGGTTCCTCTCTAAATAAAAAATAGGCAATATTAGAGGTTCAGAAAAAAGGTACGAATCACAATCCAAGTACACTATATAGAAGTCTGAGGCATTCAGCAGTTAACAAAGTGAACTGATAAAAGAAAGTTTTGAAGTTTAACAACTTGTAATGTACAAAGTTTTTGGTTCAACAATTTTTTCTATGCTTTCATTTCATCCATTTATCTAATTATTTATTTATTTTTGAAAAAAAAATTAATAATGACTTAAATTTTTTAGGACATCTAAATATATAAAACATACTTGATGTTGGGGAAAAGATCTGATACAATGCCGTTGAAGAGTTTCAAATCATCTTGCAGGAACTTAGGCACATTCACATCTCTGATGGCTCTGAGAGCAATCAACTCTTCATCCATCTTGGGATTCTGTCTCTTCAAGTTGCCGGCGGCAGATATCACACTCTTCACAGCACGCATACCAAAGTCATAGTGATCCTGAAACCAGACATATACAACTTAAATGAATACACAATATATAAAGTTAAAACTTAAAATGGAGATGTCATTTATCTTGAATTATCATCTTGGTCTCTTTTTTCATCAAAATGGTAACAATGTTTATATATATAATTGATTAACTTTAAAAAAAATTCTGAAATCTTGTAACAAGTTTTGCAAAGGAACTGCTGTCAATCATACTGAATTCAAACCCAAAACCCAAAACACTACAAAAAATAAAATAAAATAAACCACTTACCTGTGCACTAAGCTGTTCAGATGACAACTTGAAAGTTGTTGTGATTTTCTTGGAGAGGATCTTGGCATCAGAGAAACCAAAGGAGAACAAACTGATTTCTGCAATCAGGGCATAATCTGGCACCATCATAGCCACAGGACGGAACAGAGCCTGGAATACAAGGGTGTGTCTTTTTACTGGCCACAGTCTTATTGTTGTTTTTTCTTTTATCTACTTGCTTTTGAAACACCTACTTAAAACATGTCTTGTAGCAAAACACTAGAAAAAAAATGCTTATACATGGATCCCTCTTCTATTTATTTATTTTTTTTTTGGTGGGTCAGTTATACTTTACTGACACTCCCAGATTCTATAGCCTGGCTGATGTCTTGATTTCAGTGAACATTTCCTGCTGTTTACCTTCAAGTTGTCAGGCAGTTCTGTTCTGCCTGCATAGCCAGGGTTCATGGTGATGAACACAGCACAGGAATTCTTCAAAGCCAGCTCTACGCCTTCAAAGATGAACCTGTCCACCTATGAAACAGACACATTATTACATCACACGATGTGAACACATTGATATTTTCAATATCAAGTCATAATATCAATACAAAGCTATAGTAATATTGACGTTTATAGTATACCAAACTGTTTTGTGATTAAACTCAATTTTGACTGTAATATATTTTGTCTTAATTTATCAAAAATATGATACAACCATCCTTTTATTTGAAAATGCTATAAGTTTACAAAGTTGGGCATGCTGGTGATACATACACAGCATCTCCAGGCAAAACCATAAATAAACACAGGTAATCATAAATACATAGAAACACTTAAGTTTGTAAGTAAGAAGTGGATAATTTCTGCTAATTAAAATAATCAATAAAAATAATAATTAAATATAATCTACATGCTAATGGGATGCTTCTACATGTATGTTGTCGAAGGAAGAAATAACTACCCAGCTGTCAGCCCGTATTTCTCTTCTCTACCTACCTTAGCAATGAGTGCTTGCTGTATTTGGGTGATCTGCATGGCCACCACTGACAGCACCTCTATGTCAATACGGTTGAATTCATCAAAGCAAGCCCATGCCCCTGAACTATAGAGGAAGGGAAAAGAGCTTGAAGTTATAACTACTGATTTGAAGCTACAAGCAAGAAAAGGGGGGGGGGTCAGGGATAGACAGGGTGAACAAAATGCCCATAACCTGATGTTCTTTCCATGGTGAATCTTTTCCCAAAGTTGCAGACAAAATCATAGAGATTTATGGAATCAAATATTGAATTTAACCCCAATCTCAAATTAAAAAAAAAAAAAAGATAATCAAAAAATAATAAGATAGTAGCATGGCCATGCAAGTGAGGGTACTGCCTTGGGAAATACTACCTACAGATTGTAATGCAGTGTACAAGGTAATGGGGTAACCTGTAATCAATACATGCTATACACTATGCTATGATTGGTAGAGGTCTATAGGATAATCATGCACGGATGCCAACTCTACATCCTAAAATGCTGATATCTTTTGCTAGACATGTTATCAACAATAGAATAACACCTGAAATAAAAAGGAATTAATTCTGAAAAATGGGTAAAATACATGTAAATGTGTAGAGCTGGCAACCCTGAGTAGCTATATGTAGATCAGGTCTGGGGTGATAGTTGTACACGAAGAACATGCATATTGGCATATGCCTAAATAATATGCTACTGTCTAGCAAGTATGGAGAGCACCCTATGTCCAGACATATAGTGCCTACCCTTTGCTGTTGAGCTTTTTGAATGGTTGTGATCTGCTGAGCAACCACTGATAACACCTCAATGTCGATACGGTTGAACTCATCAAAACATGCCCACGCCCCAGCACTGGAAGTAGCACACCACAGAGAAACATAATCCAAGTGCAGTGCTCAAAACACAACACTTTTGTGCAAAAATTAATATTTTTTCTTTCAACACAAGGCTTTCTGAAATATGAGCAATTCTAAACAACATACCATTTCAAAATTACTTCATAAATGAAAAATAAGTAAGGTTTAGGAAAAAAAGGTGGTGGAAATCAATATAAATTGCAAGCAAACCCCATGTACTCCAGTATGGTTTACGATACACAGTTTTGGATAGGGAATCCCAAATGCGACATTCATTAATACAAACATACATTCAAACAAGTACCCAGTTTTTGCATATCCACAAATAGAAAATGCTTACATAAAATCAACCATATTGAAAATCTAATAGCAATCTTTCGATCAATTAAATTACTTTTGTCAAACAAAATTTTGAGAAGCAAAAATGAACCATGAACTTTTAAAGAATCACATGCTTCTGTCTATATGAACTATCAGCAGTCAGTCTATTATTTTCATCTAATCACCTTGCCAATCCTTTGAAGAATTTCCCCATAGCCATGAAGTCAAGCTGGTCAGAGCAGTTGAAGACCACACACTGAATGGCAAAAGCCTTGGCCAGATCCTTAGTGGTTTCTGTCTTCCCTGTCCCTGCAGGCCCAGCAGGGGCACCACCAAACTTTAGATGGAGGGCCCCAGTCAGGGTCAGGTAACATCTGAAATGGTAACACATTAGTTTGAATGTAGACACATATTTTGAATATGAAAGATACATTTTACCACAAGTATATGGAATCTCCACAGAATGCATATCCAGGTACAAGAACACTAAACAAATGAATAAATGGAAATAAATAAATAAATGACTAAATAAAATCATAAAAATAAATAAGTAAATAATCTCATCACCATACCGATCAGTCAGTGGTGTAATAACCAAGCGCCCTGTGTTCCCCAGATATTCATAGCCATACAGAAACTGGGCGTTCACAGCCCGGGTGTACATGTTGTCATCTTCCAACCAGTAGTACCTGCAAACAGTACAAATATGAACATCACTTTCAAGGGCATTGTGCATAAGCATTATTACGAAAAAAAGAAGAGATAACTTGCAATACATATTCTTCCATGAATTAGATCAAATCAATTACAACTTACAATTAATAATAATATGTTATTTCAACTTTGATTAAGCATGTTTGAAGAAAACCTTCACCACCAAATCATTCAGTAACATCATGGGGTTTATGTAGGATTAAATTTCATTTAGCTGAAAAGCTGGATAATCTTAAGCAATTTTTTAATGAGATTAGTGATATCTCTCGCAAAACAGTAAAACATTTCACATTTTCCCAACCAAATTAGAACAACCTTAGCATTTGGATAAGATTCTCTATACTAGGGTAAGCCAAGCTATCTTAACCTTTTGGTTCAGTTTTTCTATACCTCAACTGGCTGATCCATTCAAAATCATTGACATTTTCCACTTTCTCTTTGACCATGTTTGCCACCACATCCCTGGCGTGGACCTCAATGACAATGAGAGCAGACAACACCTGGATTCCAATACGTGTCAATGTCCCTCCTGTCACCAGGTTACGCAGGTCATCAAGCTGTGAAAACAGAAAAGAATCTTTGACACTGACGGCAAATAAGTGACTAAAAATGCTGATCAGTCAAAACGAAAGACCATACAGAAAAATGTGCATATGTAAAGTGATGTGAAGTGTGCACTAAAAAAAAAAAAAAAAAAAAAAAACAGATGCATATCTTTTAATCGTTCTTCTTTTTAATAACTTTTTTGTTCAATTCTGGAAATATTTACAACTACATGTGTGTGCATGTCCCCCATTTACCTGACTAAGCAAGTTTTGAAACAGTCCAGGCAGATCTTTTCTCTCCAGTGCTGCTGACACCTCAGAAGTCCAGAATGTCTGACAGCCAGCTATGACAACCTGGCCAGGCCACTTGACTACCCACTCTGTCCTAGGGATCTGAAGAGAACACATCCAATCCAATTTTCTTATTAGTCTTATTCCTATCACATGATATTATCTTTCTGTCTGTCAGAAAATATATGCTCTTGATATAAATAATAAAAAAATAAAACAAATAAAGGTTTCTGAAATCACATGATATTTTCTTTCTGTCTGTCGGAAAATATTTACTCTTAATATAAATAATAAATAAATACATAAAATAAATACAGCTCTTACCTTTTCATAATCTTCCAAAGCATCTTTGATGATAAATCTGAGACTCTGCATCATGACTCTCTCCACCTCCAGTAACCAGTCCTCCACATTGCCAGTGGGATACAGGGACTCCTTGAAACTCACTGATTCTCCTTCTCCAGAGTACATAGTCGTGATCTTCAGATCATCCTCAAATTTGAGCTGGAAAAACAAAAAAAAAGCATGGTGGTGAAATAACAGAATTGTTAAAATAAATGCAATAATTTAAAGAGAACCTTTTGTGTAGATGGTTGATACCACCTTTTTCATCATATTATTCACTTCTTTGGAATTTTGAACATAATACAAATAGTGAATAGTTTCTAGAATGACATGTTTTCTACATTTGAAAACTTCAAAAAAAAATTTCTTTTTAATCATCAATACACGAGATATAAAGAAAAACCTGTTTCACATTATAGGTAAACAGTTTGCCATGTCTCACCTTGGCAATATTCTCAAAGCACTTCCTAAGATGAGGCTGTACAGCTGTAGGATCTTTGGTCTGAGAGAGAATCTCCAGCAGTTCATCATCAGACAAGAAGTAGAAGCGGGGGAAAGAATTTCTCTTGGTCTCCAAGTACTCGCTTAAACCCTTCTGGACCTGCTCCAACAGTTTGTTACACTCCTTCAAGTTGTCTAACAGGCGGGCGTCAGGGCACAGTGAGATCACCTATAGAAATATAGAAGTGACATTCTTTAAATCTAAATAGTTGACTGATTATAAGCAGGGATTGAATGTTGAAAGACAACGTAAATGTTATAATCTCCATTGTTTACATACTATATACCACACAGCTTTCAAGAAGCCAAGAATGAAGAAAATGGCAGCTACATAAGATCAGACAAAATAAAAATGTGCTTTCCAAAAATAACACAATACACATATAAACAAAAGGACACACCAGTGTGCACATAGGACACTGGGACTAACAATTTATACACATTTGTGCATGCATACACAAACCCTCACACATAAATCCATACACGCACCTAAAATACAGAAACCGCTTTAACTATTAACATTTGTTCTGTATCTGTATTATAGCTTTGGGGCAGGATTTAATGTGGCAGAACATGAACAGGGTCTCAGGCTTACCTGTGGATTGTCCCGTGCCTGCTTCATCAACTTCCTCCAGATTCTCTCCATGGTTTGATACCTCTTGCTCTCCACTGGCAGCTGGCGGTTGATGTCCTCTGAGCTGAAGATGGGCTCCAAGTACAGCCATGACCTCTGGCACAACAGCCACTCATCAAGGACATCCTGTCAAACACAAAACATGTATTCACCTATAGTTTCATCTGTGTGTTTGCTTGATGTAAAGCTATAACCAATGACCAGCTATAACTCACATTTGAAGCCACAGAGTGTCAAATCATGTTAACTGCTAACAATACACTTGTAAGATACATACTTGTCATCTGGAAGATTTTTTAAAATCCTCAGCCAGCAAATCTTACAAAGAATACAAAATTTAAATGTTTATTCAAAATTGTCTTTTATCCTCAACTAACTGCAATTGTTATACAGTGTATATATTGCTTCACAGCTTACCTGAGTTGTTCTTAGTTTACTTTCCCATGTACTGATTCTCTCCTCAAAAGGTTTCTTGAATGGGGAGAAAGACATGCTCTGGGTCATGACAATGTGATCATCCAGAAGCTGTGAGATTTCCTCTGATATTTTCACAATGTAGGTGCCTGTATCTTTATATGGCATCACTTCAAAGAGCACTGGTGCCCATTCACCTTCCATCTTGTCAAGAGCCTGATAAATAAAAGTACAAATTGTGATTTACTATAACATTCAACTCAAGGTTCCATCCTCAGATATAATTATTGCATGTGTAGAACATAGTCCATCTTTTTTTCCCTGCCATACAAAAAGCAGGAAAAATAATAGGAATTTAACTCACTAAAGACGAAGTTAATTAAAAAACATATTATAACAAATCTTTACAAAAACTGATCAAAACAAGGACAAGGGGCTATACAGTACATTTTAAATAAATAAATAAATAAATAAATAAATAAATAAATAAATTCATCATTCTCACATAAAATCATATTTATTCAGAATTTTACCTGTTCAATGGAGTATTCCTTCCCTGCTACTTCTGCCACCTTGCTGATCTTTTCAATGTGATCCTGTAGTCTCATCTCAAGACACTTGGAGAAGGTCAGGGACTGTTTTGGACGCACTGGGAAACCAAGGTCGTTTGACAGCTGCATATGAAAAGGGAGAAGAAAAATAGAACTATTAATGAATGTGGATTATTACTGACTGTGGAAGGGGAAATTATAAACAAGGGTCACAAAAGAAAATATGTAAAATTTCACTTTTAGTGTGTATTTAATTTCTAAAAGAAAGAAATGGTCGAATGAATTTTTCAAACACTTCAACAGAACTAAGTTTGCGCTTCAATCTGTCAAAAGAATTTAGCATTCCTTGCCTTCCCCTCTTCTTAATAAAAAGAAACTGTACCTAAATAAGGTTCTACTGACCTGTTCCCAATGCCTGTTCCTCATGCCTGGGTTTCTCAAGCCTTGGATAAGAGGGATATAAGGTCTAAACTCCTCTATCATGCCTTTCACCTCTACTGCTACTTGCTGCACACCTGTAATCATAGGATACACACAAATCAACCAGGGTGTTATTGGCATCTTAGGATTTCTATTACACAGATATACAGTTGTAAGTATCTTGTGAGCATTACCAGCACTGCCTTAGTACTTCTGCAAAACCATAAAATTTATATTAAAAATATCCAAAGCTGAAACTTTGGTGGGGTTTGGAAATTAAAAATATATTGCATTTATTATGTCATCCTTAACTGTCAACTTTATCCCATGACTAACTGTGAGTTTATCTCTGCAATGAGAAGCTGCTTTAAAATTAAAAAATCACACTGGTATTAACAGGTTGCTCCACTCTAAGGGCTGTGAGGGCCATTTACAGAAAAAAGGCAAAATTGCAAATTGCATCTTAAAATTCAAAATAAAAGAATATTCAAGGCAATAACTTAACCTGCCTAAATATCTGGGAAAATATTAAAGGATTTAAAGGGGCATGTGTATAACATCAGTTCTGCTAACTACAGGGAAATTGTGCATGGGTTCTTGTGTATGTCTGTGCACATTTCTAATACAGCATAACACACAAATTGGACATCTTGGAAATGCATGCATTATATACCCCGGCCATATAATAAAACATTAAAGGACAACATGATTGTATGAATTCAGAAACATTCAAGTATCTGTGCATCTATACAAGGGGAGTAATAAGTGCCATGGTGACCATATGATACTCACAAAACCCCCCATGTTCCTCCTTCACATATAATACTGAGTCAGCTGCATACAGTAAAAAGTTATATCTAAATAGTCTCCATTGCCTTAAAATCTCATTGTTTTCTACAAAAACTACAGTTCTTGCATCAAATACTGATCATAAGGAGAAAAAAAAACAAAGATAAAACTATCACAAAGTACTTTGCACATTTCTTTCAATTTCTATTTACTTCCTTTTTTTCCCTAAAACTTCAGGTTATGCTTCACCACTAAATTTGAAAACACAACTCATACCAGGTATATCATTGAAAATCTTCACAGACTTGTGCATGGTTTTGTAGGAGTCATTCACATTCTTTTCCAGGCTTTCAGCATCAATGGATGTCAGTGGATCATTCATCCAGCTCTCATTCCAACGGAGCCATTCGGAGCATGTGATCCAGAGATTTCGGAAAGGTTCAAAGTCCTTCACAAGCTTTATCAACTTGTCATACTAAAATAAAATTGGAAAATTGATGGTAGAGTAGGAGTATAGGGGAAAGGGAAAATAACTATTAACGACATGAATTTTCAAGAATTTTCATTTTTAGTTCCTCACAAAAAATACTATTTGACATGACCTTAAATCACTTTAGCATCTTTTCCCAATTATGAAACACTTCTTTGTGAACAACATCACAAATTAGTTCAAATTTAGTGAACAATTGCATCAGATGTCCAAATAACCAGACCTCCACCCAGTACTCACGTTTGTGACAGGCAGACCAAACAGGCGTTCCCTGTTGTTGTATTTGGCAGCATCCTCTTGAGCTTCCTTCAGCTGCTTATTTATTCTGCGTGCCTCATTGGCAATCTCATGTGCTCTACCTATGTCAGTGTGGGCAGCCATACCAGCTACAACCATCTAATCAAACATGAGAAAATGAAATGTGTTTTAAGATATTTATAACCTGCAATGACATGCAAATCACATTTATATCACAAAAACCTTAGCGAAAAGCTAATGTTCCAGGTGCAAAATATTTTATGCTAATTTTAAAAGAAATAACAATGTCTTTTTGGAAACCTCTTTATGCTGAAGAAAAGCAAAGAAATTCAATTGCACCAATGCTCAAAGAAAAACTATACAGCTTTCATCCATGGCCACCACCCACCTGCAGTGTATCCAGTTTATCATTGAAGTTGGCCTGATCTAGAACCTGTAGCTTCCTAAACCTCTCCTCATCCTCCTCCAACTGGACCAGAGTGTTCTCCATCTGAGTCTCTATCTTGTGTGGCCACCCAATAGCAGTCCACCTAAATACAGTGTTCATAATTATTATTATTATTATTATTATTATTATTATTATTATTATATGTTCCAGTGACAAGATATGCTGCTTGTTGGTGGTACAACATATTTTTATTATTAATTCAAAATACATAATATCTAGATTCTTACTTGGCATTGAAGTCATCAGTAGAAAGGTTATAGTAGAAATCTTCTATCAATTCATAATCTGACATGGCCTTGTCAATGAGTTCCTACAAAGAAAAAGATTTATAATAACCGCTGTTACAAAATGAAGGACAGAGGCCATAAAAATGTCACATGTAGAAGGTGAAGATAGTTTGATGTTCATTATTAAAAAAAAATAAAACACAGAATACAATTATTTAAATGAAACAATTTGGATCTTTCTTATCCTTTACAGATACAACAAAACAATCTTCTGGGGACATAAATTGAGCAAGTCTATTTGAGTTAAGTGGGCAATTACCACAATAAAAAAATTGAGAAAAAAAACTCACCTGATGTTCTTTCAGTTTTTCTGGTATTCCTTTCATCCATTCCCTCATCTCTGACAGCTCCTCAATGCAGTTGGACTTGTCATAGAGTTTTCTGCTGATAGCCTTGAACTCTTCACAAGCCTTTAAATAATAGAGTGGTGAATAATCAAATAATAAAATAATAATGGTAGAGGGCATTAAATAAACAGTGAGCAAAAACTGTGATTCCATTATATCTCTGAGTATTGTAAAGCACATAACATTTCACTTTGTAAAGATACTATACTTAAGATCATTTACAGCAGGCAAAAACATTCCCCTACATGAGTGTAAGCTTGTAACAAACATTTTTATTTGGCACATTATTTTTGGCTTATTTTTGGCACATAGTTTAAGGGTGATTGTATTTAAATACCCTGTTAAATGATAACTAGCTTACATCATCTGCTTGTTTTCTGAGCTGTCTAGCTAACAGTTCCAGTACAGCATTACTCAGGTCTTTCCTCTTCTTTGCTAATGCCTTTCTCACTGTGTCTGTGTTGATCCAGAATGGTCCTATGACTATGGTGCTGGGGATGGTGGCTTCAATCACTTCTTTCTCTTTCAAGTGCATCTCTACTTCATGCTTCACTTCAGCTGCTGATTTGCCTTGCTTTTCATACTCCCTTGAAGCAAACAAAAACACGGTTTACAGTTTTAAGATGGACCTGATAAGAGAGGCAAGTAAAAATCAGAAGTCCCTTTTTAGCTGTAAATTTCCCATCATACCAACAATCAATATATCAAGATTCCACCACACATGTTCAGTTGGTATAATAATTAAGCAAAATGGTAATATCTTCTACTTACTTGACATATGCATTTATGTCCAAATTCATCAACTCCAAATGTTTCTCATACTCTCTGGCATAGGCTTTCATTGGAATGAGTGCTTTCTTTATGGCATTTGTCACTGTGGTTCTCAGTTCCTCCACAGGAGGTTCATGTTCTCCCACAGACTCCAGCAGAGGTGTGCCAGACCAGAATATGTCCTCCATGATGTACTGAATTAGAAAAAAATATCAGCAAATAAAACTATGAAATCAAACTTTTGAAAATTGTGTGTACATGCATGTGTGCATGCGTGTTTGTGTATACATGTACATGCACAATTGCAAAGGGCATAAATGATGTGTACTCATGAGTGAGCTCGTGTACATGCTAAATTAACATAAGCATTTAATTGCTTCTAATCAATTCACATACCTTTTCCAACTGTGGCACACTCTGTGTGGATGAGATGCCTTTGTCAAACAGGCTGATCAGAGTGCTCTCAAAGCTGTTCAGATTAGTACTGTAGTGGGCACCTTCTTTGTCCAGAAGCAGATCCACCAAAAACAGAGCATTCCTCTTGGGTCTGAATTAAAATCAATACTATAAGAATCCTGGTCCCATGATCATACATTTTTAAAATTGAAATTCAATATTTTAAATTGTCAGTTAGTCACTTAAAAATAAGAAAAATGAAATCAACTTCTTTAGTTAGTACATTAAGTTGATAAATAACTTTCATGAGCAACAATAAAATTACTTCATCATTTTTAATGGCATCATTATCAACTTATTAACAAATAGGGACTGTGATTAAGTGTTCCTCACCTGTAGTTACTGGCTAAAAGGTCTGGTCCCCATTCTCTGTCTTCTTCATAAGTCAAACAGGCATGGCAGGCATCCAGTACGTTTTGGGTGTAAGAGACCAAAGAGTCCTGGACCAGGTACCTCAGGGAATCCTGCAATAAAGAGTGCCAACAAGGTTTAAAACTAGGCAGAAAATGCTGTCAAATATACAGATCCCACTCTTCATACTCCACAACAAATTTGAGTTTTAGTTTGCTATTATATTGATTAAAGGTCTATTATTCAACTGTGCAGTTACCGTCCTTCAGTATAAAATTATAACATTTCAAAAATGTGTTGAAGAGTTACAATTTAATAACAGTAACTATGAAAATCACTTTTTTATTGGGTGGGCTAAATTTTGAAAAAATCTCACTTATTTTGAGTAATCTGATGACATGCTGGGGTTCATGCAAACAGTTCAACTTATAAGCCAGCAGTGTTTTGACATACCTGCATATTAAACTTGACCATCTCCATCAGCTTCTTGAGCTTGGAAATCTGATACACATCCCAGTTGGTTTCATGGATATTAAACCAACCCTTCCCACTGTCCCTCAAGCTGGTCCTAATGGCAGCTCTCAGGGTAGTGATCCAGCTGTCCTTCAAAAACAGGGAAACCTGGAGAGAAAGTAAAAGTCATAATTTGCAGAAACTATCTAACTTGTTTAGTGTTTATGCTATAGACTATGAGACTGTCAATGGACACACAGTGTGTGTATGACTGTTTGGACTATGAGTGGACGATTTTAATCGATTAAAATCTACAATAACTGCCAATCTTAACCAAATTTGACAAGGTAATTACTGGAGTCAATTAGCTCCTAATGGGAGAGGACAGATCTTTGACCTTTTCTTTCACCTGGAAAACTTACGTACATGGCCTTAAACTGCCAAAACATAACATACAATTACACACCATGTTCCTCAGACAGTGATGCCAAACTCCACAGATTTTCATGTATACCTTATATGCAACTCTCATTGTTTCAGGTGTTATGCTTTTCTTATTAACTTTTCACACAACAGATCTATGCATTTTCAGAAGTGTAAAGTTCAAGTAGTGATTAATGCACAAAATGCTTACCTGGGATGTGGCCTGACTTTGTGTCTGTTCAAACTCCTCAAGCCTCATGGGTTTACTCATAGGTAGATGGAAGAGGCACATAGCAGAGACCTTGTTACATTCAGTCCTGACTTTGCCAATGGCTGAGATACTCTCTTCTCTGGTCAGCAGGGAGTTGAAGGCAAACTTGTCATACTGCTCATCAAATGGGTATTCAGGTAAGTCTGTGACACAGCCTAAATAATGGACAAAAAGAACAGCAATATTTTAGAAATTCCTTCAAATAACCTAATTTATCTGGAGTTTTCATTGGCACTGTGACAGTGACAGTTACTGACCTATTTACACAATGGTGCTCAAAAATTTCTGCAGGAGAAAAATTACATAGTTTACCTTTGACAAATGTTTGGAAGGAGAATATATATATATATATATTTTTTGTATACAACACGCTGTAGACAGTCTGACATACCTTTCTCTGGTATCACCTCTTTCACTGGCTCTGGGATGGTGACAAAGGCAAAGGTTGCAGGATCTTCTGCCACAGTCTTATCGAAGATGATCCGATTCATGGAGCGACAGAAATCAATGTTCACTTCTTTCTCTAACAACTGTATGTAGTCATCCAAGCTATAATGAGACAGAAAAATATCACATAAGAATCCTTTTATTATTATTATCATCTGATTCTATTTTAGCACCTAGCTACAACAATCATTTAAGTAAATTTAACACCAAGGAATACACCGAGCTGTGAAGACAAACATTTTCATGTAAATGATATCACATCTTGTTAAAATATGACTTACAATATAATTTTTTTTTCTGAAGAACTGACCTTTTGTCCTTTGACAGTGAGGAAGTACTTCTAGCCCAATCAGTCATTCTCTTCAATGATGCCTGGTCCAGTTCCCCTACTCCATCCATAGGCATACAGTCCAGGTACAGGTTATAGCGGATCAGTGCTTCTGTGTGCTTGCGGCTTCTAAAAGCATGGCCAACACGCTTAACAAAATCTCGAGGATCCTCTGCCATAAATAGCAGCCTAACTCTGGGAATCCAGTACTGGGAGGGCAAAGTAATTCTTGTGCCTGGAATTTAAAAAAATCAATGAAAAAGGCTATATAGGCACCAATCATTACATATACAATATGAAACAGTCCATTTACACTTTCACTAAAGGGGTCTTTGCTTTTGTTTTTCAAATCATAAAAATTGTTTTTTATCAGTGTATCTTACCATCTTTTCTCTTCCCACCATTCACTATTGTCTTTCCCTTCTGATCTACAATCCTTCCATTTTCATCACATTTCTGCACCAGATACAGCTGTGTTGCTTTATCGTAATCCAACACTCCCACATCCACCCAGGCATAGGTGATACTAGGGTCTCTGGGATCCACTGGAAGACAAAGTTTAATACAAAATCTAATCATAAAAATACAAATGCAAATAAATACATCAGTAAAAGTAATTAAAAGTTAAAGATCTAGGCGTTCAAGGGGAAGTTATTGAAATTTCCAAGAAATTATTTCTTTTTCAATTTACAAGAACATAACCTGAATTATTAAAATAACACATAAAAGAAAAATAACATATGAATAACTTAATATGCATAATATAAACATACAATCATGCACATCATCAGTGGAAGGCAACAAGGCTTTGCCAGGGACAGGCATTCTCTTTCCGTCCTCCTTTCCTAATCTAATCCACTCGTGGGGTGTGCGGCAATCAAACTCTTGGTCATCAAATATCTCCAGTGGTAAATACGGTGGGAATGGAGCTGGATCCTTCAAATCAGCATTCAGTATCACATTGTTGTTTCCATTTGTCAACATTTTTGGCATCAGCATGCTGCTGTCTATGCACTCCTTGGCAAGCAGAGTCTTTAAATTCTGGCTCTCATACAGCCTCTTTCTCCTGAAAAATTGCAATTATAAATATTACTAAAGGAAGAGTTTTATAAAATACCCAGAAGGTTAAAGTGTTAAAGGGGTGAATTCCAACACTAAATACTTCCAAACAGATTTCAAGTAAATTGTTGTTTGTTTTAAATCAGTCACATTTACCTTTCAATTTCTATCTTTCTTGGACACTGTCCTGGAATGGTATAGTAGGGTAACTGGACTTTGGGTTGAAATGACTTCACTGGAAAGTCCTGCAAAAACAAAAATACATGTCAGCATTAAATTTTTATGAAATAAACAATAATCTTGTCTGATACTCATACTACACGAAAAATTCTCTCTCTCTCTCTCAAACACACACACATTGTAATTCTACCCATTTTTCTTTCTCTCTCACAGACGAAACTAGATTATAGGTCTTTCATTTCTGTTTTAGGAGCAGTAATCCAGATATATTTGTAAACTTACAGATATGGTTGTTATCTCTGTGGATGGTCCATACGTGTACTCCTGAAGTTGTGCTTGTATATCCTCTGGTTTAAAGTCAACCCCAGTAACTGAAAATGTTAAGTTTACATCAATCTTACATAAAAGTCTGATACTTTGAATCCAAGATTTGCCACTATACAACAGAATGCAAAAATAAATAAATAATAAATTAATAAAATAAAATAGAATAATAATAATAAATAAACTGGACAAACACATTTAAAAAATGTTCATTTTGACAAGCACTTGACTTTAATTTCATAATATGGTTCTCACTGAAAACTTGCAAGTGATTTTTTTTTATATTTGATATCAATTATATGCTTTGGCTAGATTTACAGTAAATACAGAAAATAATTCTTCCTGCAAAAATTGTAATAATGTAGTTGCACATGCAGAACAGTAGGTACCCGTAAGTAAAAACATGTTTGGGTTGATTTCAAGTCTCCTTCATTTCAAAGAATACATATATGACCTTACCTTTTGGAGTGTGTTTTTCTTTGGCAACATTCCAAAGAGTATCCTGTTCCACAGTCTCAGGCCCTTGCAATACATTCTAAAATTAAATACAATGTTTTTCAAATTATTAGTATTTAAAGTTTGGGCACCAAAACTTAATACAAATAAATTTACAACATAAGTGAATAAACCTGGATCCCATAATGTCTCCACTATGACTGTCCCTCCAATAAGCTGACAGTCTAGCTACATGTGTAAGTATAATTTTCTTATCTTATTACTTCTCCATTAATTAAGCAAACCTTTATTTCAAAAACCTTGTATATCAGAAAGTGGTAGCTAAGAATGAACCTCTTGTGCCCTTAGTGAATTCTGCTTCAATGTAATAGTAGTTAAGAAGCATTATAAAAATTAATGATATAGTAAGCAATTCTGTTGGAGAGAAAATCAGGCCAAATACATGTACTTGTGAAGCAACTTTTCTGTTCTATTTCAACTGCTCGTCCAATTTATTTTGTGCTTACTGAACTCCACAACATATTACCAGATGTGTTTCTGAGTGTAATATCAAGAGCACAGAATTATACCAAAATAAAAAAAAATGCAAATTATACCTACCCCTAATCTTTCTTGGGCACCTGTTCCCAAAATATCTGAATAAAACCCTCTTTGTTTGATCTCTGGGTACTTCTGTCCAGAGACGGATGTTTTTGCTGTATTAATCTGTGTCCGATTGGAGGAGAAAGGCCTCCCATGGGAGCTTTTGGTTGCTCTGCTAGACATATTTTTGCTAGAAGAAAGAAAGATACTATAATTATAAAATAATTGCATCAGAGAGATTAAGGCTAGGATCCCCTGCAGACCATATGCACCAATATTAAATTGAGCATAAGCATCCAGCAATTACCATGGCCAAAGTCTTGCCGTACTTGTACTCGCACAGTGTGTTTGGAGTCCGAACGTGTACGTTTTCTAAATTCAACAATAAGTGCACCATATTCTTTGACGATTTTAAAGAATAATAATATATTACTGTTAAAGTTTGAAAAAGTCACTACATGTCATCAATATAATCTTTAAAACAGCCTAATATTCTCAAAGCTTTTTGAGAGAGCACTATGGTCTGTACTTGGATCATCGTCTATACGTCTATATGTCTATACGACTAACCATTTACAGTACAGCCTACTTGCTGGCTGTCTTGAGTACAAGTTCTACACAGTACATTGGCACTCATATTAATGCAGAGAGTTTCAGAACAAAACTAATTTAGTAACCATATCCAAAAAATGAATATAACTGTGGTAATAGCATGCATTGAAATCTTTTACCTCTCTTAATGACGATTCATATCCGTGATTTATACGATTTTGTTCAACGCACCATCAACAAATATGGCGGAGTTGATGGAGTTGCTAAGGTAGGTGCGCATGCGCAGGCAGGTGGGAGACGTGCCCTGTCAAGCCACACGCAAGCCGCTTGACCTGCCTTGCAAGGACACAGACTAACCGAATAAAACAGAAATCTCAAAACCAGAAATCAATTTTCAGTTTAGATTGTTCAGAATTTTAAACTGACTTAAGTTTAAAGTTCTGTCTATTTGCCGTTTAATGGAACTCTTGGGCATGTTAGTAAATTAATTTAATTGGCAATTTGGATCTAAGCAAAACAGAAAAGAAACGGAAGAAAAAAACGGGCTAGCGTGATGAAATTTGCACAAAAGGCCTTAAAAACATTAAATAAAAAAACGGATTGATATATTTCACGTAGGCCTACACGGCGGTTTTGGCACGTAGGGATAGTATATTTCGTCTGTTTCAGTTTAGCACAAAAATCCATGAGTTAGCACTCCTATCGGTCCTATTTACTGGTATAGGCCTATCTATCACCCGATATATTTAGACCTACATTTTCTGATACATATAGGCCTACCTGAAGAAAATACTTGAATAAAAACTCTACAGGTATTTTGTGTAGACTGGACAGTTCTTCTTGAAGGCTAAAGATGTAGTGTAGCCTAATCATACGTGAAAATAATTATAGTTTTTTCTTTCAAGTCTTACTCAAGGAGGTTAGCATAACACATAAGATAACAAACCCTAGAAAAGATAAGATGATTGATGAACGTCTGAAATCCTTTGTTTAAAAAATACTTGTAGAAACTTATAGGAACTTTAAATTATAAAAATTGTAATTTAGAAAACAAATGAAAATAACATTTCCCATCGTGGTGTTCCATTTAAAACAATTTAAGTATTGGAAAGTCATGTTCACACAGCATCAATTTTACAACTATATTTCACTACACTACTCTGGGAGGTGAAACCTTTGACAAGTTGCCATAAAACTGAAACGTAAGAGAGACCTTTCAGACCTTTGCATGGGGCAACCAACCCTTTATTAAATATTCAGCTGTCAAACCTTTAGGTGCTCTGCTGGAATTCTAATGACACATGTTTTTAGGTCTACTTCAGATGATTGTGCTTGTGAACCGTCTACGATTTTCTTAATGAGCATCAAAATTAAGGGATATTATAATATTTAGGCCTACTTATAAAATTAATTAAATTCATCAATTTTCAAGTGCCATGCAGAACCGACGTACGTGCCAGATCAGATATGGGATGTGCCAGAATGTTATGAAGCAGCATTAGAACAGTTTTTCATCGATTTATGCTGGATTTATCATTCTTATTGAAAAAGTAAAAATCCAAAGTTGTCTATCATCAGAGAGTTAGGTTTATGTTATGTGGGTCTATAACGCACAGGGCAACCAACCTACATGTACATTGTAGGCCCTACACTTTGAGCACTTATATAATATTGCATCCTAAATTTCTTTTAAATCAAAATGAAGAAATTAAAAAACTTACACATTTAATTATTTATTCAATTTCTTATACTTTTAAATGTGCTATTTGACATATGAATTCATCTGTAACCCCCCCCCCCCCCCCAAAAAAAAAAAATCTGCGTTCTTTCCATCGGTCTTTAATAAATCCCTGATCAAAAACGTCAGTTGCAAAAAGACATAGGCCTATATATGCATAAAACGGTAACCTTTTTTTTTTTTTGCATTCTGCCATCGGAGATATGGTTGCTTTCCTGCGCTTGCTACGAACATGTTCCGTCAAGACAAAAATGTAGCCCACTGAACCGGCTGAACTGCCGCTTGCCAGTGTCCATGAACACTCCTTGACTTGTCTCGTTATTTGTGTTAGCGAGGAATTATGGGTAATACAATCTTGAGTGGGGAAGCGGCGACAACGCTCCAGCAAATTACATGTCAAACAATAAGATCAATAGAACTGGCACGCAAAAATGCAAGTGTTTGAGTAATGAGTTAAATTAGTAATGTATTTCTTGGTGTTTTGAGACCATCTATAACTATGTAAAAGTCGATTTCTTCTCTCCATTAGACCCTACATTTGCTAAAAACGACTAAGCGAGGTGAGAACGTAAACAACTGCAAGCGTTGTGGACAAGCTAGAAGCACGGTAAGTGTGAACAGATGAAGCTGTAGGAATAATGTTTTCACGATTCGTCTTTCACGATTTTTTTACTTTTTTTCTGCATGCAAAACACCAGTTGAGGGCCTATTTGACAACCGCTGGGCAAGTTGTACGTAGAAACTAGTTCAACGACTTCTAGTACATGTAATTACTATACAAGTACTCGTACATGTAGCCTACATACTATTCGGCTATGGTCCAAGATATATTAATAACAGCTATGATATACAATGACTAAAGACTGATTATGTCAAAGCACAATTAAGTATATTGATCTTGGTCTCTTCACTACATTTTATATGTACTGTAATTACATGTTTGAGAACCTGAGAGTTGCAATTAAGGGATCCAAAGAAGATATGTACAGGGTCTTTTAAAGTTAATTTAAAAGTCAATGTGTTATTTTAAAAATAGCTCCTAAAAATTTAGCCTTCAGAATGATTTCCCAGAGCCAGATATCACTAGGCCTGTTTTCAGCACCTTGGCTTTCAGTTATCAGAAACAGTAGCTAGTTGCTGATAAAATAGCTAGTTTAGAATAAACTCTTCGAGTGCATTCAGAATATAGCAGACTAACCGATCTATGGATCACATATGGCCCACCTATTTGAATACTTGTTGTGTAATCCCTGGGGGGAATCTATTCACTGTCTAATGGGGGATGAAGTGGCAAGCTTTTTAGTGGGTCGCCATACTTGATCTGCAGATATGTTATTCCGCTTTTCTGAATGCGAGTGGTGTCCAGAATAAACAGATTGACCAGTTGAAGTATGATGATGGCAAATGAAATGTGTTGAGATGCATTAATTGTAAATTGTGGTTAATAAAATCTCATTTATCAATTTTTTTCAAGACAGGTGCTGATAAATATGGATTGACAGAGGAAAAAGACTTAAATGTCTCATGATTTGGACTCCTGTTCTAATATTGTGAACAGGTTGTCTTAAGAAAACAACATGAATGAGGATAAGGAAGAGAATGCTTCAAATGGTAAGATACTTATGAATTTGCCTGTTTTAGAAATTCCACATAAGAATATCCGCAGTAGGCAGGGGAGTATCCATTGTTTTATTAAGGAATATGGCAACGATCTTCCAATTTACCCCATCCCATTTTAAAGTATATTTATCAAGAAGTGTCTTTCGGAGCCTGTATATGTTTGCATATTTTTGTGTGTTTGCATGTGTGTATGTGTGTTTGTGTCCTAATAATATACTCAAAGCGGGGATGGGAATGAGCATGTGTAAAGAGGAATAGCAGCAGTTTCATTAGTCCAAGGTGATGGACCTTGATATTTCTATAAAAGTACATGTACTGCTTTCATGTGTTACTATGACAAATGTGAATTTTTAAGAGGTCTAATAATGAGCATAAGAAGAAAAGAATAAGGTAAAAGAAGGGAAGCAAATTTAAGAGTTTACCAAGGAAGCCATCTTAATAGTTATTATGTTGACAGTGGTTTAGTTAGAAGCTATAGTACATGTACCAACCTTATAACACCTGCCTAAATACCTGAAACAATTCCATAAAGGTGTGATACGATTACAAAAAATATTGTGTATATTTATTTCCTTTATTGCTTGTTTCTTTTATAGCTTCTTTGGGGACTTCCAGTAAAGGTAAAGATCGTCCTCCTAGGAATAGATTCAAGGAATCTATAGAAAATCTCCTGTAAGTATTGTAGCCCAATATGTCATCAGTTGCTGTTTGAAGATTGAAATTTCATAAAATAATGTGAACCATATTAGGACAGCTTATTTATTATCCCCCACCCCCTTTTTTTTTCAAAAAGACTGTATCAGCTCCTGGTTATTTTATTGATATGTAATTTTATTGAATGAATTGTTACTTTCTCCTTTTGCTCTTACTGGTAAGTCAGTTTCTTATACAGTGGACCTTAATCTTTTGTAATAATAGATATTTATGACAAGAGAAGTTAGTTTAATAAATAATACTGCTGGCATTTGTGCAGCTTTTCTTTATAAGACTAGCCTTTTTTATGGAATAACAATGCTGCACATGAATAAAATTCGGTATTGGAATTTTTTCCAAAGGCGATCATCCGATGCTCGTCTTCAGAAAAATGCACAAAGCGAAAGAGATCCGGGGCTGCCCCCCAGGAGAAGTAAAACTAATTTATTACCACGTTTTGATATGGCTGATGAGAAAGAAGATAACACAGCAAGTAATTCAGTAGCAGGTAATTGATCAAAATTTTAAATTTTGAAACTGCGTATTTAAAAATGTTGGAAGCTGTATGCCAGTGTTATTATATTCTTGTGTTAGCACAACATTGAATAGGCAAAGGGTACATAAAGAATAAGTAAGACTTTGTCTTGTTACATGTAGCTTAAGTAAAATGAACTTGGTTTACTGTGTATTATGAAGCCTTCTTTTTAAAAATTCATGAGCAGATCAATCGGAAGCAAGTGGAACAACCAGCAGGACTGATGTAAACTCTCAGAAAAATCTGTCAAATATAGGGGTACCTTTGTCAAAGCAGCCAAGGCTAGAAATGGGGAAAACAGGTTTGTTTTCTTTGTTTGTTTTGATTTCCACGATAACTGGCTTTAAGCTTATTATTTATATATAAACATTCATAAGCTTAACCAATTAGCTAAGTTGATATATACGTATATTGACATCCTTGACCAATTTTATAAGTAAGAAGGATAAATGCTTTGATTGTATCCAATTTTTCTGGACTATTATCAAATGAACATTTTTCAAATATGTGCTTTTTATGTAGGTTCACCATCAGAAAATAGTGATTTAACTCCAAGAAGAAATGAAAGAATTTATGTAGGTACCTTAATGTCTGTGTTTATTAGCCTTATTTAAATTACATATGTGTGTGTTTAAAGTATGTATTAGCTGACTTAATCCTCGATGAGAATATTTACTTATATTTGTAAAAGGTGCCAAGAAAAAATAAAATTCTATATCCCATTAAGTTTTCCCCTGAAGATAATGATGAATTGAGAATGTTTGATAATCACCGAGCAAACATTTTTTGTTTGTTATCACAGACTGACATACCAGTACATGCTACAGTATTTTACAGGGTCACATTTCATGAAATTGTAGTGGGAAGTTATTGATAAAAATTTTTTTTTTTGATATAACCAATTTTTTCAATCCATAGGGTACAGCTGGCAGTTTGAGAAGTACTCCAAGCAACATGTTGGATGAGGACCTTACTTCTGAAAGGGTAAGATACAGGTGTAACTGAACAAAAGACTATAACAGTATTTGACATTGTTGTAAATGGCACAGTTATTGCATTATAATTAAATCTGCACTGTTCAGATTCAATGAATAAGATACCAGTACAGGGGCGGATCCAGAGATATTTTCTGACTGTCTTCCACATTATCTTTGTTGATCCATCCTCCATTTTTGACCGTCTTCCAACAGAAAAAATTAGGTACTCATCAATGTAAACTTAGAAATTTGACCGTCTTCCCGAAGACCCAGAAGACGGCCTCAATCCGCCCTTGCAGTATGCCTTTGTAATAAAATATAGAAAATGGCAGTACATGTGTTTATTCTTGAGGCCACAGGCTGCTAGAGTACAGTACAGTACAAAAAATGAAAATTTCATTGGAAGTAGTAAAAAGGGATGAGGAACAAAGACAAAGCATACATGGCACTAGTAAAGCACACGTTTCTTTACGGTTGAGAAAAAAATTTTGATTGAATGTATGTTAGTTCATGTGCTTCATTTTCAGAGTTTTGGCAGCAGCAGAGCATACACACCAAGAAAAAGACTCAATTCCATTCTGGGTGGAAATGTGAGCCCAGAACTCCGCTCTTATATTATAGAAAAGGTAAGTAATGTAACAGTCTCATTGTGTGTGTTTTTGTTTTTGGTTTTTGATCAACTAAAAATGCAGTTTTATGAAAGATACTGGTACACATCATTTGCATTTTGTCAATGTTTGAGACCGAATATCATTGTAATTGAAGAGGGTGAGGAAATAGTTTATGTTGGTTTTTTCAAATACCAAATTGGAAATTCGTTAGTTTTTAGCATTTAGAAACTCATTTCCAGAAGTGAATGGTGTATGTAATATTGTCCCACTTTTACCATCTTGCTTTATTTCTGCATGAAGTAATAAGAACTACTCCTTTAATATCTTTATTTGTTTTGGCTTTTTAGGAAGTAGTAGAAAGTCAACACAGAAAGTTACAAGTTGAAGTTACCAGTTTACAGACTGAAAACAAGCTGCTGAAAGAAAAATATAATAGAGCTACAGGTGAGTGGTGGAAAGGGTTCTGTACTTTTTATCCATATGAGGAATGAAGAAATTTAAGGGTATGGAGGTAGCAGGCAGGAAATAAAGCTTTCTTTTAACACTGCTTAACCTTTATTGGTATCTTATTGGTGAATTTGGTGAAATTTTTCACATTGCATACAGTATATCTTTGCTTTTAGATTTATGTTACTGCCCAAACATGGCAAATCATCCATGTTTGGTCTATGGAACATTTTAAAATTTCTTTATTTTAAATGGTAAAATTGCATAATACTATGTGAATTAATATCATAATGTAAGTAAATTGTAATATCAGCACAAATAGTGAACCTGGAAAGACAGCTTGCTGATGCCCAGCACAGAGTGGAACAAACAGAAGATGACCTGAGTGCAGAAATGTCCTCTATTAGAAAAAAGTCCAGAACAGAAGCAGACTCTGAAAAGCAAGACCTGCTGAAGCAAATTGCCAATCTCACAAAGGAAAATGAAATTCTCACAGCTGAGGTGAGATGGTAAAGTAGATAATGTTTGTATGATAAGAGGAGAATGGCAATTTTAAGATGAGGTGAACTCAAATCTGTCTCTGCCAATCTTAAAACATGCAGAAGTTGAACACAAACAAAAAATCAAAAAGAAGGAACTGCACCTTTTTGGTTATTTTATTTATTTATTTATTCATTTTTTCACTTCACCTCTCCAAAACTGCCAAATCAATCACCTCACTTTGCTCAGTGAGGGATAATATAATTCTTATGTGTATGTTACATATTATTAAAGTGTAGAATGGAAAAACTAATCAGAATGCTTATTTTTTTCAGAATTCTTCTCTTGAAAAACAACTGGATGCTGCAAGGAGAACCTCTGATATAGTTAGACAAGCTTCTGATAAGTCCAAGATTGTGGCTGCATACAAGGCAGAGTCTGCTTCTTTACGGGTATAAAATTTGACTCGATTGGATTCTTATAACAACTAAAATAAACTTTTTGGTCATTAACTGATTAAGAACTGAATGTTCTTTTAATTATTTACATTTCAAAATACACCAATGCATTTACAAATATTGATATTCTTTGAATATTACCATCAGTGTAAGTGACACTAAATGTGACTAAAAAGTTATGAATCTTAGTCTTTTTTTTTTCACTAAGGAGGAACTTAGTAAAGTCAAATCGTTGCTTAGTCAGAGTGATAAACAAAGGAGAGATGATGAGGAAAAAAGGAAAGAAAGTCTGCAGCAAATTGCCAAGCTGACAGAAATGAACAACTTACTAAAACAACAGTTAGAATTGGGCGGCAGTGCCTTGGTGGCAGAAAAACAGGTAAGATTCCTTGAAAGAGAAATATTTTGATGACAGAATGTAGCATATTTTTTATCACATATTTTCCATTATGTTTGATGAACATGGTTTCATTTTCATGTTTCATGATTTTTTTTTCAGGTATATTGTCAGACTCACGATAACTGGATTAATCCCACATGATTATATATATATTGCTTGCTCTTATCAGTCTTGATAGCTATTATTATCAAAAGTAAATGAAAGTTTATGTACACTTATGTGTACTGCACTGATTTATTACCTTTATTGCCTGTTAGCTGTTTAGATTACATTGATACTATGCATATATGTCATTTAAATGGGTCATTGATTGATGATATAGGTAAAGTCTCTAGATGTGCGTCTCAAAGTAACAGAAGAACGTCTGCAACAAGAGAGGGCAGACCGTTCGGTTAAGCTGTCTGAGGTGGAAGATAAACTCCTCAAGGAAAATGCTAAGTTCCAGGTAGTTTTTGTATTCACTTGTACATGTTTGATATACCAGAATGTTTTATTTTAGGAGATTTTTCTTTGATTTATAATGTAACACTCTTAAGTTTCATTTTCAATATTTTTTAACATTAAGGTATTTTCAGAGTTGATAATCTCATACAGCTTCGTTTTTTTTTTATAGCCAAATGTAGAAACAATTATTAACATACTGTTGTTTTGGTGTTATTTTGATCTTACACGCTATGAGTTATCAAGTTTTTTTTTGGTCATATGAAAATTAAGACAAAAGTACCATGATTTATTTTTTTACATCATTAATGTGGAGAAATCTGGTGGGTGGTACATACTCAAGAGGGGTCTCAAGCCTCTCTACCTTTAGTTCAAAAGTTTAAATCAGGATATGTTAAGTTCAGTTTTAATATTGATGAAAGTGGTTATGATTAAATATAAGATTGTTGCTTGTAACTTCTTATGCCTTGGGTATTGAATATGTAGGTTGCTGCAAAGGAGGCTAAGAGGCAGTTGCATAGAGAAAAAGAGAAGGTCAAACATTTAGAACAAAAACTGTCTTCTCTGAAAGATCAGTTAAAACAGTATGGGTCTGGTGATGAGTATGGTTCACCATCAAGAACAAGTCCTAGCAAAAAAGATGAAAGTATTCTGTATTATGACCAGTCACCTGAAGTGGAACACCAGAAGGTTTGCTTTGTTGTAGAGTTCCTGTGACCCACTCTTCTTTTGTTGCACCTTTGGTTTGGGGTGCACTAATTGTTGTTGGAACTTTAACCTTTTAACCCATTTTCTGTTCATCTTTTTCAGTTTTGAGTGTATTGTTCTTTATGGCTTATATGATGTTTACTGTCTTTCTTATTACCGTTTTTCCTTGCACAGGTGTCCTCAGAGTTCTATTACACATGTACATGTAGAAGTCTTATATGTTTCACTTACTTACCGGGTATATGGTGTATTTCAGAGTCTTTCAATAGAATTCTGTTTCTGCTTTTTCTTTTTCTGTGTATGACACTATTTTGACTATTATGTTGTTGATTATGTACATTTCTGCTTCATTTGTCTCATAACTTTTGTTCTTTATTTGACTTTTCATTACCTATTGTAACATAATTGCACATTTATTATTTCTTTTAGCACTGCTTAAACTCTGTTGGTATCTTATTGGTGATTTGGTGAAATTAACCCTCTTCTTCGTGAAATCACTAATCCCAATATAGGCAGGGAAGACCATGCTGCAATGTTAAATCAAATATTTCTTTTTCAAATGACTTAAATCATGGATTTGCTATGGTCTGCCTTATTTGATCCATCATTCACTCCTCACACTTCATGGATGGAAATCATCTGAAATAGCCTAAAATGAGGCCATCAGCACAGAGATTAGAAAACGTGAGAATTTGCCTGAGTTGTGGTTAACCATAAAGCTTTCATTGGGTGAAACTGTTACATGTGCCAAGAATATTGTCTTAGGAAGTATGTAATACAAAAGCAAAATTCAAAACATGGTGAATATTTACTGTTGTGCAAAAGACTATAATTTTACAGAGCATATATTTAAGAGTTCTAAAACAACCAGAAAATATCTGTGGATAAATTTTGTCAGCTTTTACTTATTGCACACTGCATTCACTAGTCTGCCATTATCACTGGCCCCACTCTCCTTCCAATTCCTGAAAAGTTTTACCTGATTTTACACTAAGTTGTGAGACTTTGGGCTATCTTGGATGATTTTCACTCCCAGATGAGGCAAGCTAACTACAAAATTTTAAAAGGAGTACACAACTTTTATTGAAAAAGATATCAGTTTGATTCAATATATTTCTCTTTTAGTTTATAATGTTATTTTTTGTATATATATTATATTTATTTAAATGTATTGTTGACAATACTTGGAAATGAAGTGATATTTGAGGCATACATCATTGATAGGCAATGCTTTATGATGATTCCAGGACCTTTCTGTTGAAAAGAAACTCTATGAGGACAAGTTCAAGAGACTGACTGAGGAGTTGGATGATAAAACCAAGGAAATGCAGGAGCTGGAAATGACTTTAAAGCTGTATGTTTTGCTAACTTTAAGTGACCCTTTGAAAATGATACAAAGATTTCAAATGATGGGACTGGGACATTTGACTTTAACAGAATTTTGATTGTTGAAATAACTGTGCACACCATAAAAAGTTGAATGTTTGCTTATGTATATACCTTAAAATTGTAACAAAGGTTTAGTGCTCTTTTAGATTTTTATCGTTGAGTAAAATTTTGAAAAGTTAAATGAGTGAATTTGATCCCTATTTCAATATTAATGTGATGATTTTATGACATTTCAAATATTTCCTTTTTCTCTAATAGTCAGATCAACAGTTTGGTAAAAGAAAAACACGAAACTATCACAAAAGTAAGACACCTGGAGGACCAAGTAGCTGGCCTGCAAGCTGAAAATACTTCTCTAAAGGCTGGTCTGGACAGTGGCGTCTCAATGGCTGCCAATGCTGATAGTGTGGGGTCTGTGCACTATGAAGGTAAAGAACACAAACTCTACAGTCTTCATCTGTTCTTGTGTCCTTATTTTAACAGCTGGCAGTTCTATGTTGGGCACTTCATGTTTCAGCTCTGAGGCAAAAAAAAAAAAAAAACACACACACACACAAAAAAACATCTTGCTTCTCAACAAGAATGTTTCAGATCCAAGAGTACAGAAAATGTAGAAAAGTATCTGGAAAATGATAAATCATCTGTCTACAATCATATTTGATGATTTATATGAAAAATTCAGAGTTTTGAAGTATGTTTTGTTTTCAGTGTATGTTGATATGTGGGAAATGAAGTGAAATTCCTGTACAAATTAATTTATATAAATGCCTGTTATGTTTATATTGCAGTTCAAATAGAAACTTTAAAAGGTGAAATCAAAATCCTAGAAGGGAAGATAGCACAACAGCAGCGGAACATTAAGCTTTTGGAGGCTGAAAAAGAAACCATCGTCACACAGTTAGATACCAAAGAGCATTCTCTAGAAGAAGCACTGCGAGAGCTTGAAAATTATGGTGCGCAGCAAGAACATGGAGAGTCAGACAGGAAGCAGCAAAAAATTGATAGACTAACAGCTGAGGTAGATATTTTGCTCTGCTTTGATGGAACTCTTAGACCCCATTTCCATAGATTTTAGATTGATCTATCCCTGTGGGGAGTCTCACTAGATTACTGTCAGCTTAGCCAGCTTAAGCGTCTGTCCCGCCTACTAAAAGCTGTAAGGGGGTAATTAACTATGGTGCGCACTCGGCTGACTGCAATTTAGCGTGACCCCCCAGGGAGTTAGGTCGATCTAAATCTAAATCCCTGGATCGATCTAAATCTCTGGGAATGCACCCTTAGATATCTCCTAGTCATATATTTTATGGTTACTGTTTACAATTTGTACAAGTCTTAATTTCGGTCTTCTAAAGTTTGAGTGGTAAAAAGATTTATTAAGTATACAATGTATATATTAAGCAAAGTTGAAGTTGCTTTTCACTTATTAGATTTTAAATATTCAGTTTATAGCAATACCTTGTAAAAAAAAACAAACTTTTTCATGAAAGATTGAATGCAACTGAAAAGAAATATTTACAAGAACATTGAGTTTTCAGCAATGCTACTGCTGTTTCCATTTAAAACATTACTATTCAGTTTGGTAAGATGTAAGACTCCTGACACATTGATGATCTATTATTTTTTATGAATAGAATCACAGCATCCAGTCTGAGCTGCGTGAGTGGCAGATGAAGCACCGGCATTTAACAGCAGAGAAGCAGCAGATGCAGGACCAGATGGACAAGTTGAAGAAAGAATTAACTAGATTAAAACAGAATTGGGAGAACCAGACTGCAGAACATGCAGAATCTTTTGTAAGATTTTATTTTTCATAATTGAAAAATTGCTGTTGTTGTTATTGTTTCATTTTTAATTGTCACTCTATACTAGCTGCAGTCTGTTCATGTTAACCCTCCAGATTGCTCTAACTTGAAATCTGATTCACTGTTACAGTTTTGCTTCAGGCATCTGTTCATATATGTGTCAAGTTTCCCACAGTAACAAATAGAGAATGACTCATCTGGGTTAAACTTATCAAAATCTCTTGGAAATGGCTCAAAATGCAAAACTGGTGTGAACAATTATTTTGTCAGTTTTTTTTTTATTTATCTCATTTTACTGTGTAATTTCATCATTTTAATGTTAAAACACAAAGTCATAAGCAGCACCAAAGTTTTCTATGTATGGGATTTTTTTTAAAATGTGTCTTTGAACAAGTTGCTGTTATGTGTACATCTTTTTTACAGTATATATGTACACTACACAGACGATGTTTCTAAGTTGCCTTTGTATTGCATCAGACTTAATTCAACTATCATTATCTGCATGTCATTTTTATGATATTCTAGAAACTTGAGCTCCAGAGTGAGATTCATGAAAAAGAAATGCAAATCCTGAGCCTCAAGTCTCAGTTCATGCAGAATGAAGATGAACTACAGATGACCAGGCAGGAACTGATCCTGGAGCAAGAAAATTTGATACATCTGAAAAAAGAGGTTTGTTTCCTTGCTATTGTAATGATGTAATACATTTACCCAAAGAGATTTAATAGGCAAATTGTTCATGTGTCTGGTAGATATAAAAAGTCTTATATATTCACTTTACTTGACATTTTATTTTCTCTTCTTGTCATGAAAATTTGCTGAATAATTATCTTTGGTTTTTAAATCAATAGGTTTTTGTCAGGTATTATTATCATTGCCATAAATGAAAAAAAAAATGTTTTTTGATTCTTGGATTCTGTGAATTTTGTAATAGAATTCTTTGATATTAATGTTGATAACATGTAATTTTAATCAGTTGAAAGCATCGCAGGTATAACTGCCAATTTTTCTGGTCTTTTGATAATATGTTTCTCTTTCTTGTCTAGGTGGAAAATCTACAGTCCTTGCTACACCAGGAGAAAGAACAAAACAAACTGCTGCACAATCAAGAAAGTGATTTACAGGCTGAGATTAAAGCACTCAAAGATAACTTAAAATGGAGCAATAAGGAATTAAATGAAAAGTCTAGAGAGGTATGCTCTTTTTGAGAAATATGTTAGGTCACTTTGAACTTTTTAATTCTTGTCTTTGTAGTGTTGAAGACATTAAGGGCATTTTGGTTAATATACAGCTTTCAGTTGTGAAAAATGCTTGATTAATTTCATGCAAAACTGTCGACAGCCTTCAAAAAAGTAAGCGTTTAGCCTAAGCATCATGAATATTTTTGTCAATAAGCTGCTCAGTTTTCAGCTTAGATATGATGAATTTATCACATTTTTCCACAAATAGGTGGTCACTGAAATGGAGACACTTAAACATTTGCTTGAATCAAAGGAGGCCAGGATTGAGAAACTTTCAGCTACAATAAGGTAAGTTCTGATTATGCTACCATGTGCCCAATGTAATTCTTATTTTATTGAGCATGGAGGTATTGCCATGAAACAATCACAGTGCAATTGTTGCCATTTAATTCTGGTAACAACACTGTTGCAATACAACTATAACGGTAACTCCATTGTTGCAATGTAACTATGGTAACTCCATTGTTGCAACATGACACTGTCAATTTGATTGTTGCTCTGTATCCTTGGTAACTACTTTATTATCCCATAATGCATTTTCTTACAGATCAAAGAAGATAAAAATGAATTGGGATCAGTAAATGACTTGTGTGCTTTCAAGTACTTTGTTTGCTGGTCATTAGGTTATTATTTTTATTCTCCCAGCCATCAAAAACAGGACTTGGATTCCCAGAATAGGCAGATTGAGAGGCTGAAAGAAGAGAGTGCCAGCAAGACTGAGGAGATTGAGAAACTTACATTTGGGATGGAACAGAAGGTATTAATGTAATTTTGAATGTTTGGGAATTAAAAAAAAATACTTATTTGCACATTGATGTATTTTTGCTCTTTTTTATTTAAGTGGCAGATCATAGTAGGATGCACAAAATATTTGCATGCTTTTATTTATTATCATTTTTTACATCATTGAAATATGTTCTGTCATATATTTGTATCGGCATGAAATTTTTTGTTTAATTATTTTGATTTAAAATCATAATATAACTATTCAGTAATCATCCATTTTTTTTTTTCGCTAAGACATATTTTATCTCTTTAATTCATTTTTTTAAACCTATTTTCTTCCATTTTTAACATATACTTATGCTCATTCAGGCCCTGGAAATGTCATCTGCAACTGAAGTGAGCCAGTATCTCACCAATGAGAGGACTAAAATTCAGATGGAAAAATATGAGGTGGAGAAGAAGCTTGCCAAACAAATTGAGATGCTTGAGGAAAAGAGACTGGAGATAGGAGAACTAACAAGAAAGGTACATTTGTAGTTTTAATGAATATTTGAAATGTATTCACTGCACACTGAAAAATGAATTTTTTCATTCACTGTATATGCATTGCTTCATTGATCAATTTGAACACTTTGATCTTTTCCACCATATCAGACAGAGTTTATTTGTTTGTTTTTTTTCCTTTTCCAACATTTAAAGTTTTGGTTATTGGAAAACTTCAGTTTTGTTGTTTTGCAGCTCTTAAATAGCAGTTAAGAATGTATGTTTATCAGGTTTATTTTGATGTTTTCTAATGGTTAAAATTTTGTGTTGTTTGCACAAATTATGTGGAAAAGATGTACTTAATGTCATCATTGATTCATTATATGTGCGGAACTATTCTGGCTATAGTTGATAAAATCTTTCACATAAAGTTCTACTCCACACATATATTAGTGCATCCAGATATACTCTTGAGTCTTAAAAATCTTTTACAGCTTGAGACGGAAGAAGACAGACACAGTATGACTGAAGAGATGCTCAAAGAGAAAGAGAATCATATTGTGAGTTTGGAGACAGATATGCATCGTCTGCGCAAGAAAGTGTCCCAGTTGGAAGAAGAAACCAGGCAGCTGCAGGAAGAAAGTAAAAAGTGGAATACAATTAGTTCTGGTTTGGAAAAAAGACTAACAGCTGCCAAATTAGAGGTAAATATCTAAGTAGGAAATTATTGATGAAAAAAAAAACAATGTTGGGCGCTTTTGTCTTTATCAAAGTATGTGCTTTGCTGCAAGCATAAGTAGTTTGAAATTGTCATTTAATTTGACTGATTTTAGTCAAATTTAAACCAATTGGACTAAAAAGCGATGAAAAAGTAGTAATTTGGCTAAATGAAAAAAATTGCTAGCGCCACCCCAGATATGTATAGGTCACTTTTCATTTTCTCATTCGTTACAATATTTCTTAGGTTGCTGAAGCAAAGAGTGCATCCAATCAGTTGGGACAAGAATATGGCATGGCCTCCAAGCAACTTGATTTAGTTAAACAGGAATATGAATTTGCAGTTGTAACCCTAGAAACAGAGAAAAGTGCTGCTGGAAAGCTCAGGGTAATTTTAATTACATATAGTACATTATATAGTACATTTGTATAGTACATTTAATTACATATAGTCATTGGGTTATTTTGGATTTTTTTAAGTTGACCTGTTTTTATGTATTTTTCCAAAGAATATACTGATGCCCTTGATGCAGACATGTTTTTTTGAAAAAGACAATAGGCCAATATAGGTTCAGGTCTGTGAAATCAAGTTTTTGTAGTCGCTTCATATCCTTTTTGCCTTGATCTGCATCTATGAGTATTTGTATTATCCGAGCCTAGTCACTCATTGTATCCATGGTTTTTGTTTTACCAGGAACAGATTAGGGCTGATGAAAATAAGATCAGTAGATTGGAAGAGGAGTTGAGGGTTTCACATGAAAGAGTTGATAAATTAAATGGTCAGTTGTCGGCTAGCCAGGACATGGTAGAACAGTTGAAAGGAGACAAGCAAAGTTTATATTCAGGTAAGAATCTGTAAAACTGTAAAAGGCAATCTGTATATTATTGTGAAAAAGGATGAATGGAGGGCCATTATATATTAATTTAGAAAAGAGAAATATTTAAGTATTGAATATGAATATGTGGAAATTGTGCTTTGAAACAAAACAGTACCACTACAGATGTACCACAAAATAAAATAGTACCACTACAGATTACCACAAGCACCAATCAGTGAACTCTATTAAAGTCATGTATTGTGTACTTGGTTTATATAATTCTTCAACTTCCATTTTAGATTTGCAAGAACTGTGTCACAAATTATCAGAGAAAGATGAATTAATTGGTCAGTTGCAAGAGAAGTGCTCTGAGACAGTTGAAACAGTACATAATGAATATGCAATGGAGAAGGTGAAGATATCTAGGCAAAAGGAATCTGTAGAAGAAGAACTAAAAAGAACAAAGTATGCTTTTTTTTAATATGTAAATATCATTTATATTTCTGCTCTGAAAATTATAAGGCATGTTTTTTTGGCCTGTCTGTTCTTTCTCCCTCTCTGCCTGCATCTGCCCTTTTGAACAATTTGATTTACTATTGTTTTATCAGACTTTGTCTTCGTAATTGAATTCATCATTATTTTGCACTTACATGCTGATTCTCCTAGAATATTTGCATACCTCCAGTTATTTAACTGTAAATTGCGTGCTTTTTTAAATATCAATTAAAGGTAAATTTATGCTGTTTAATGTCAGTTGTTTTTCATATTAAAGATGAACATGTATTTTATCTTTTTATCCTTGTTTTTCTTCTTTATTTAAGAATGGAGCTGAAGGCGTTAAAGGAACAGCTCAAGCAGAAGGATATTCAGATGAATACTTATGGTAGAACCCTACTAGACCTGGAGGGAGAAACTAAGTATGTGTAGCTTCTTTTGTTTAACATAACCTGAGCTTCAGTTCACGTGTTCCAGCTCCTTCACTCTTTTTAGACAAATGAACATATGTAGAAAAATTGAAAGTGAAGAATTTGGCCCACATTAGTTTATATGTGTAGCCTGCTTACACATCATGAGAGGAGAATCAGAAAAGATAGAATATGCCACATGCTGTTTTGTAATAACTTTGGCTGCATGGCTGGTTATTGATTATTTCTTCACTTACAGAGCCAGGCAACAGCTGGAAAACAGGGCAACGGCCATGGAAATGGAAGTTCAGGAATTAAAGCAGCTGAACAGTGCTCTGAAAGCAGAGAAAACATCTCTAACAGAGAGCAATAGACACTTGCAGGTATCTCCTTCTCTCTCTCTCTCTCTCTCTCTCTCTCATATATTGTCATTTGTTAAAAGAGGGGAGGGGAGATTTCAAATTTTGTCTACAGACTTTGTAAGAAACAGGAATTTTGTACGCTAAAATCTTACAAAATCAAAATTTTGGAATCATTTTTGTTGTGCGACTTTTGTTTGAAAAATAAAAAGTTGTAAACTAAACACTTCATGTTTAGGATGTGTTTCCAAAATTGGGTAAATTTAATGGGTTCTTTTTTGTTGGAGGGAGAAAACCAGACTCATTTCTTTTATGCTTTGTCCTATTACAAAAATAGAAAATTATATGCTCTAATTAACTCTTATTGATGTAAACCTGTTTAATTTAGGAAACTTCAGAAAGTGCAAAGGCTAAAATAGCCAGATTAAAGGAGACCATTTCTGAAATGCAAGATAAGCATCAAAAGCAGACAGAAAACCTTAGGCAGAGTATGGCTGACAGAAATGTCAAACAAGAAGCAGAAATGTTGGACCGTAATGAAAAATACATTAAGGTGAGCTAAGTGGATCCATGTTGATATACCAGGTACACATTTAATCTCCAAACCATTATGTACATGTATATATATAGTGCACATTTATGTTGTATTATGTTTTCAGCAGATCATAGAATATTTTGTGTAACTGTAACCAAATATAGACTTGTGCTTTATTGCATCTGCAAATAGTTATTTATACATCAACAGCTGGGCAGGTGGGGTGGGGATGGGGCTTTTGGAATGGGGTTGGGGGGTTGAAGGTGCCTTGTGATCAGTAGCTTTATAGTGCTACATTGTAATACAAACATCCATCTGCCTTGGCTCCCTTCATTTTTGTTCACACAGGTCACTTTGTGTGGTCATGTCAATGTAGTCACTGGATTTTGTATGTTCATAGCATTTCCAGGATTCTCACATCTTGGACACAATATCCAGAACTGGACACAAGAGGACACAAACATTAAACATTCATTTATTGCATAGTCCTCAACTCTGTTATTAACTTTTATCCAATCATATTATCTGACATCAAAACAATGATGTTGAAGTTGTTCTTTTATTATTTTTTCAGACAAATGCTACTCTGAAGACCTTAGAAGTGTCCCTGACAGCAGCAAATGAAACCAAGGAGCTCTATCTTCACAATAACAGACAATTGGAAAAGACCATAGACTCCTTAAAAACCCAGCTACATGAAGAGATCACCTTGAGAAAGTTGTCTGAGCAAAAGATTGATACTTATAAAACGCAGCTTGAGGAGGTTAAGAAGAGGAAGGTAAAGCCTTAGACACTCTTATGTACACTTTATATGCATCTTGTCAAAAACAAATTTTTAATATTTTATTGTTTACAATACTAGTATTTGCCCATACTACTCTTGTCAGTAGAAAGCGATTCATCCATCTGTTACAAAGAGTATACTGTTGGTTTAGATGATTATACTTACCTGTTGAATCAGAGAGAAAGGGCAGATTTTTAGGTCTCACATTAATTAGAAAAAAAAGTTTGGTTTTCCAACCATATGTATCTAAATTCTTGTAACATGGATGTATGTAAAAGAGAAACACATAATTTGTAGGTTACAGATGACCAGATAACCATTGACCTGCAACAGAAGTTGAATGAGACAGAAAGGGCATTCAATATAGAGCATGAGAAACTTCAAAAATGTCGAGATGATCTCAGCAATATGGAGACCACTGCACATGCTCATGAATCTAAAGCGCAGTCACTGCTTGACCAGTTTAACACATTGAAGGTATACATACCAAATAATACTTTACAGATAGTAAATTATTGATCTGAAATTGTGATATTTTATAGTTATCTTAAGTTTAAATGCCTTGGAAGCGAGATTTTGCAAATGCTAGTGACCATATGTAGAGCAATCAGCTTCTTCTGCTGAAGCTAGAGCTGGAGTTATTCACATATGTTGTTTCCACATTCATCCCTGGTAAAAATTCCAGGTGAAATTCATAATGTCCTTTTAACTGAAAACAAAAAGAGACTGCCATAAATGAAAAATGCCTGGACTTGAGGGATAAGACTTTAGGACAGATTTTACTCAAAAATATTATCTTGTGATATAAAATTAGTTACAGCATTCAAACACAATAGTTGATAAAATGGTTTTTAGCATAGAACATTACATTTAGTGTATTTTTATTGTAGATCATTAATTTCAGCAGTGACAATTCTAAGAATAAGCAAAAGCTGGTGTTTGCTCTCTTCAAACAATTTTCAGTAATATTTAACCTCATTGCCAATAATATATCATTGAACTGTTGATTTTCCAGGCAGACTACAGTACTCTGAGGCAACAGTATGACAGTCTGAAGTACAGTTTAAGTGGTAAACATAAGAAAACAACCTTGGAACTAAAGCAGCAATTGTAAGTTGGTACACAGATTTAAACATAACATTTTTGTTCAACCTGTTTATACTTACTGTTTATAAGAATTTGAGCCTTTAGAAATAAAGTACTCATTATTATTTCAGTATACAATATGATGTATCATATACTGAAATTGCCAGCACAGTACAATGAGAGATGCCTGAATTTTTGTTTTCCACTTCATATTTCCAATGTAACGTTTTTTTTTTTCTTTTTCTTTTTTCAGAGACCATTTCATGAGTGAAAAAAATAAATTGAGCCTTCAAGTGCAAAACCTCACAGCAGACCTTGAACAGGCTAGAGACTTGGTGGCAGTTAAAAACAAAGAAAACTTGAAGATGCATGAGGAACATCTCAGTCTCCAGGAAAAGTTAAGTGAGGCTAAGAGTCAGCTGAGGGAGCTGCAGGACCAGGTGCTAGTGGAAGCTGACCTCAGGAAAAAGCTGGACAAAAGGTAATGAATACATGATCAAAACTGTGAGGTATGGCAATACTGTAGGTATTCCGTTATTTGTTGTTTCATAAGCTTGTTGTGCATGCATGCACTCTCACACATACAAAAAAAAAATAATAATAATCATTACTTTGATGGCTGTGTCAAATAAGTGAGATTTCCATATGTCTTTGCCTTTCATCTTTTTGAGATATCAAAAGTACTCCTAACTTACCACGGGAAATGTGCACTTTCCTTGCTGTGGACATTGGCATTGGCTGTGGACATGGCAAAATTTCCAAGAAACACATCATTGTATTATTGAAAATATTAAAACATTGATATATAATACATCTCTTAATTTATTTTCAGGAACAATGACTTGGAGGATGATCTTATGAAACTACAACTTGTTGTTGGAAAGTTAGATCAAGATGGTGAAGATACCAAAGACAGCAAAACTGATGACAATATTAAGTAAGCACTATCACCTATGCCACACATAATATGTTTTTAGTATTTAGGTAACATTGGTCCCATACTTACCCTTGGACAGGGGCAATTCCACAAATTCATCACTGTGTTTAGGTTTAAAGGTGATTATACTCTGATGTAAAATGGTAAATGCGCACCCTTGTTATATTTATTAGCCGGACTGCATGATATCAATGCCAAAGCCCACATATTTTGTGATGTAATTTAAACAACTTTGCCATAAACACCCATGTATACCCTATTCAAATACCTATGAAAAATACTATGCAATATATATGATTTTCTTTTCTGAGAGCACAGTTTGATACATGTATCTAGGCAACATTTCTTTCAGTTCAATGAATACAATTGGGTTTATGTACTGCAGCTCTTTCAAAATGTGATCAAGAGTAGCCTGACTGTGACACAACTCACTGTCTACTTCCCTAAGTAAACTTTAAAAATAACTAGTGTTCAATTAAATCCTGCTTGAATATAACAAGTCATTTACAAGTATACTTTTTGTTGCACTTTCTAGGGCAGAAATTATCAGAATGCTGCAAGAGCTTAGCTTACAGCTGCACCTCCAACAAGAAACTAGAGGCCATAACAGTGACAATGCAAAAGAAATGCAGCTGCTAGAAATGTACAAGAACAAGGTAAAATCTATAGACAGATGGATATTAACATTTTATGACACCATGATAAATGCACATATGATAATGGTATAATTATAGTATTTATATTTGGTTTTCTTTTTGCCCCACAATTTTGTTACTGTTAAATCTGGAAGGTACATATACAGTTTTACTGTAGATTTGCTAGACTCATCTAATATGTCATTTATGGGCCTGAGGTCAGGTGTGAAGTGAAGGTTAGTTGAATAATTTTTACAGCAGTTGTTTATTTATTTTTTAATCTGGAATTTGTTGTAATTTTGTTAACTTTTTGCATTTAGATTGATGGTTTTGAAATGGAGCTGTCTAGTGAGAGAGCCATGCACTCCCTTACCAAGACACAGCTCCGCTCTCTGGAGGAAGACAATCAGAGACTTAGGATTCAGATGGCACAAATCAAAAAGATGAGGAATACCCATACTGACAAGTAAGTTTATGCCTAACAGCCATTGCAGTTGGAATAAAAGGGAGAACTTCGTATAACAAAACTGGGGAGGATTGGTGGATTGGAGAGTGGGAGGGGTCAAATTGCTCTGCCATTTTTTCAGTAATTTGGATCCATCTTGTCATACGTTTGTTTTTCATAATGTATAAATATGTTATCAGGATGGGGTATTAAATTTCTGTCTCCTCTAATGAAACTCACAAATAGTCAAAAACATTTTTGAAGGAGTGTTTTTGATACCCATCAATTTTTGGGCATAAAATCTTTAACTTTGAAATATGCAATTTTACATGCTTTGCTTTGTAACCTGAAATACCTGAACAGTTGTATGTAGGAGATTTTTCTATGAAACCCTTTTTGAAGTCAGTATGTACTGTAAGCTATATGAAAAAGTCAAACACTTTAAAATGTGTCACAGCATTTTATCTAACAATACCTTCTTTTCTCTTGAGATCAAATAAAACTCACCTTGAAGAAATCAACGACATCATTGCAAGGTCACAAACAAGAGCCAAAGCGATGTTTCCAACAGGAGAATTTAATCTCAGTATGACGGGCATAGATGGAGAAAATGCAGCAATGGCTGGCACTCTTCAGGGATTGGATTATTCGCTAAAAATGAATGAATTTGACAGGATTCTGAGCCCCTTAAACAGTGGTGTGATGGTGGAAACATCACCAGGCAACATGTATGAATGAAATAAGACTTGACATGAGACTCATTCGATAAATACTTAATACTTGCAAGACTGTACTCCAGCAGGTGCCCAATAATGGCTGACTTTTCCCTTGAATTGCATCCATTTCACACTCATTACTCATTCCAGACACTTAAAATATGCATTACATACATCCTCACTCATTTTGTCATCTTTTTAATGGTTCAAAATTTATTCATATTTTTTGATACAATAACTGATATTTTTGCCTTTTGNGAAGAACAGGTTTTACTTCCCTTATCTTGTTATTTAATACTCAGTACTTTTGTAATTTTTCCATTGTACATATACACAATTTCACAGCAAATGTAAAAAGCAGAATTAAAACTTTATAAGAAAACAACTTAAATTTCTTTTCTCTTTTCATCCTGTCAAGTCGGGCAAAGCTTTCTCAAAAAGAAAGTTCAAATTTGTGGTCATTTTGCTCTAAAGAACCCATAAAACAAAGAAGTGGCATAGCCATTTTCTTTTTTACTATCAAGAGATAATGGACAAAAGCCATGGGGCCTTGTAACTTTTTCATTTAGCATGGGTTCACTTGAGGTAGAAACTTGTAGAAAGTGAACTGCCATAAATTGACTATAAAGTACTTGTAAACTGCTGAGCTCTCAAACTTTGATTAGCATATAAACAGAGTTAATGGATATTAACCTCAAAACTAACTTAAGTGTATCTTATGAAAATAACTGTTCCTTGTACTAGGAGGGTTATGCTGGTTTACACAGTAAATCCAACACCATGTGATCAACGTGTGGTGCATAAGACTTGACATGCTCTAAGTGAAGTATCTCTGTTTTCCACTGACCTCCATGTGTTTTATGTAAAATGTCTCTGATCTGATCGGCTGCTGTTACAGCCCATGTTTTCCACTGGGGTAATAACTTTTTATTACAAGTTATTGCTGTATCACTTGTCTGGTTTGAAGTGGCTCTTTCATCATAATGGTAACCATCGTGCTGTTTAACATGCTCTCTAGTCAAACTTTTTCCTAAATGTTTTGAGCCACAATGGCATGTGACTGAAAAAGACATTCCTGTTAAGCTGGGACACCCAGTGTCTTTTGCCATATCATTAGAATTACACTCGTTACTTTCAGCCATGTTCTGAAGAGTGTTCTCCATTGATTTGGTGTCTTCACACCTGTGTAATCTACCAGCAATTTGAGAAATGTCAAAACCTGGGCCACTTTTAGTCTTATTGCAAGGGCAGACACCTCTTGATTCACATTGAGACCACTGCAACTGAAGATGCTCTTGTGATGATGTTTCATTAAAGTCACCATTTCCATGTTCTCTAATAGGATTAGCTGTCTCTTTTCTAGAATCATTCCTGTGTTCAGGAGTCTTGGTTTCAACATTGTAGTGTATATGTAGTATTCCTCCTGACTGCGACTTCAGTGCTGCACATGCTACTGGCCACCCCTCCTCTGAGCTGGGAATCAACCCAAGGTTTACCCTGTCTGCAACACCCTTAGGACATACCTTGAACAACAGCAGATATAACAGCATAAGGTGATTGCAAATAAACTCCTGAAAACATGTTTATCTGGGCTCACACTTGTATTTGCTTTTCAGTCAAGACTACCTTATAGAAAATACCATTCCATAAAAAGTTTTAATCTTAAGATCAATTGTCAAACAAAATAATTAAATACTTTACTTAAATAAAAATATCTTTGCCATATTATTCACACATTAAATATATTACTGCACTTGCAACAACAACAAAAAAATATATTGCCTACTTGTCTGTTGTCTCCCTGATGAACAATACACCTCTCTGCCACTCCATTCAGATGTAGGTTCTTCCTCAATGCATCTGCTGCATCTGGATTCCACTCACAGGCATGAACCAGCCTGGCTTTGGCATGGATCAAGTATGGCAAAGTGAAGTAGCCTATGCCTGGATCACGTAACAAATAATTTATTACTTTCATTGGTAAGTGTGACTGTTTTCTTCCAATCCTTGAAAAGTTACTGGTGTGATAATCTGTATGTATCAGAGCTTAGTTGAGACTTTACAAGGAAGGCAACAGTTATATCTAATCCCTTGTCTTTATTGCAACTGCAAACAGCAAAATTATAACTGCTAAATTACAACAACTTCACAGTGCTTGTGTAGGTTATAACCAATGTGTGTAAATAGTTTAATGGCTAAATTTAAATAAAGATTAATCTATTTTCTTTTCTAATTGGAAAGACTTTATCGTTTCTGAAACCCTCATGGTATATCCTTGGTAAAATCATTGTTTTCCCTCACATCTAAAAATCATCTCAATTGCCCAAAAAGCTTTACCTGCATATAAATCCACAACAGTCTCTCCCTCACAGTGGAAGTGAGCCACTCTTAGTTTCTCTGTAATGTTTCCTGCACTAAACATACACCTGGTAACATCATAGCTGTACCTGGAAACAACAGTCATACAAGAATATGATACATGTAGCGAATAAATACAAACAGGGTATACAGACTTCAACTGTAACTTTCTTTTACACCCTTTTATCAAACTTTAAATTTCCTGATATTCAGCCACTTCATGACATTTGCTACTTGTACAGCAATCTTAAGGAGTACAAACTGTGTTACTGTGTGAAATTATATTTATTTCCCTCTCAAGAAAGAAATCCAAAAATAATGACATCTCACTTGATATGATTGTCAATGTGAGTGACCCATCCATCCTTTCCAAGCAGCAGTTCTACCTGTGGAGTCCGGAAACCATCTTGGGATATAATTGACTTCTTAGCAAGTCTTTTGGCACCAAGGATTCTTGCCACAGTCTCCCACAACTGTGGACCTGAAATCAAATATGTACACTGACCATTACTATATGTACAAACATAATTGTTACATGCTGGTATGAATTTTTCACATCCAGATACCAAACTAAAAAGCTGATGTTTATCTAAATTGTTTAAAAACAACTTGCAAATATATTCACTTTGAGGAAAAGTGCAAAGAAACATTACTAACATCATAGTGACACACTAATATTTAGGAATTATTTACCACAATGTCTCCAAAAATCATTTTTGAAACAATGATCTGGCAGAACCACCATGTCTCCATGCTTTTCCCAGTGTTTAGGAATATCATCTTCCCATGTTTCACTATCTCTAACCCCTGCACTCTTCTTTTCACTATTCACTATTGCCAATAGATTGCCTAATGTTTCCCGGAGATGCTCCCAAGGTGGCTTTAACAAGTCCTTTTTTGAAGGTGAAAGATTGATTACATCAAGAGTGTACTCAACAGCCGCTGGTAGCCCCCCTGTGGTCAGGGTCAGCATCTTGTAAGCTTCACTGGTAATGGGAATGGCCACCAGATCTTCGTCAGTCTTTTTCAGACTATACCGGCTGTCCCATAATCTGCCAATTTCCAAATGTTTCCTTTAAGAAAAATAAAATAAATCAATAAAGGATAACTCCAAAAAGATGTAATCATTTCGTAGAATGTTAATTTCATAATTAAATTATTTTAATGGAGAAACAAGACTCTGACTGTTGAGAGCAGGTGATATGACTGTGAGATGTGAACCCTGTTTTTTGCCGTGCGATAGTTATGGCAAGGAAGCAAGAAAGGTCTCTGTTTCGGATTTACAAAGTAATTTTTATGTCAGAAGTTACACTACACTCTACAGACAATTACAGTAGCCACACAAACAAAAGTCAAGAGCATCATAATTTGAAATAATTTCACGGGTAAAAAACTAATAAAAAAATGAAATATAACAGTGTCTTTCAGTAACCACCTGTCCTTTCAACTAAGGTCGTCACATACCTCACAGTTTGTGCAGATGTCTTTGGAATAATAACAACAGGTACACCTGTGGGCGCTGACATATTGGATCTCGCGAGATTCTCTTGCTAGAGCGCCATCTATCACAGTTTAGGTTAACGTTCCTCACGAAGTGCTTTGTTTTCACGTTGGTTTGTGCTATCTTTGACTTAAGATCCCTAAAATGTCAAGCCAGGTTCAAGCCCTCCAGAAACAAGTTGAGCAGCTTCGACATGAAGCTTCTATACGCCGCATTCCTGTGTCTCAAGCCATTCAAGAGTAAGTGAATATTTTGCCTAGATCAGATACCGATCGATTTGACTGAGTCAGTATGAGAACATCTTCAGCTAGACAGACAGGCATCAAATTTTGATAATTAAAAACACAGAGTTTCATTGGAGAATTAACCATTATCCACTTGAAGATTATAACAAACATAGATTTCATATATGACGTAATTTCAAAGTGTTGCAGTAGAACGTAAAAGGATGTTTTTAAAATTAATGCTTTGAATTTTAAAGGAGCTGGATGGGTCTGGTGCCGTTTGTAAATGCATGGGGGTATTTTCCTTTATCTTAGCCTTCCACAGAATCTGGGAATAGTAAGGTGATAGTTAATATTCAGTGTGAATACAATTCAATGAGGAACAGAGATGACGTAAGGGGTCACCACCTCCCCCATTCTTAAAAATGTTGCATGGACTGCAAACAGCATAGTTACTATTTTGTACTTGAGTTCAGTGGCCATTTGATTCTGTTCTGTTGTGGTCTTGTGATTATAAACATTTGTTTAATTAATTGATGAACTTACAAACTGCATTAAGTTATCTTTATAATTGTCATAATATCATAATAATTGTCATTACTGCAATACAAAAAATAATAAATAGAGAAATAAATAAACTATAAAATAAAATAGATAATTGAAATTAGTTATTCATTGTATATTTAACAAGTCTGTTAAATATGCCATACATCATGATACATTCATACATACAAGTGCAGGTTGTGAAACACCAATACCACCCCCAAATGATAAAGATTGAAAATTTAAAAAAAGATCCAAGGAAAATGTGTCCTTATAAGCCCATCTTCTCTTGATGATGTGGTTTGCACCCTTCCTTTGAAATTTGAAAGTCATGGATTTCAGTCACAATATTTGAAAAGGCAAAGCCCTTATTAATAATGCTTGCTGATATTCTATGGTCAACTTCTTGTACAGTATGGAAAGATTTAAGCAATAGGACAACATTTTCAATGATAAGCACAAATAAAATTTTCTTCTCTCAAAGCAGCACATGTGAAATAGGTTAACAGGATGAGTAAGGCATTCTGATTATGGAACAATTGAGTCACACCACACCAGGTCATTCCAAAGAACATTATGAAAATTGCACCCGTAATCTTTTTGCTAAGCACACAGAATATAGAAGAAAAGCACTAAAGACACAGAAATGGTAGTTCTGGTAATAGTACTTGGAAGATTCTCAGTGTTGCATACATGTGGCAGCTTTAGGTTACTTGCTCCTTGGGGAGATGAAAGTATTTCCAAATTGAACAGGCACAAAGCTGGTTAATTTTGGTCATGGAGGGTATCCGTTTATAAACTGATCTTCACCTTCGCTAGTATTAAATGCAATTTATTGTGGCTTTCTCTGGCTTTCAAGAAGCTCCAGTGAGATTGGCAAAATTCTACCAATAGAGGTCTGTGAAAATATTGCAAGCTTTTTACCCATTTCTCATTATCAGTTGTATTTTTAGGTTCACTTATATAAGATGGACAGAAATTCTAGAAAAAATTTCAAGGATAGTTTCTTTTTGCATAAAATTGACATTTGTTTGTTTTTTCATTACATGACATCGTTGCAGTAGATCTTGCAAATCATGACCTACTGGAGTTTCTGCTGACAAACTCCACTGTATTGTGCAATTTACATACTAGCCAGTATGCTTTTTCACCTTCTGTGAATGTCAAACGAAAAGTGCCAATATTTGGACTGCTCATTCATCTCTCTTGCATGTCTTGTATCAGCCTTTTTGCATACATATATTTTCAATTTCAGAGCAGCTTTTCCTTTGTCATGCAGGGTAGATATAGTTCAGCATTAAAAAAGTATGTACAATGGCTTTATCATTGTTATTCTCATCATGGGCAGATGATGTTAGCCATATTTATCACGTGGGTTCAATGCTTACTTGGTAGATTATTGACTTGAGTGAGTGAATTATTAACTATGTTGATAGGGTTCATTGACTACTTCAATCTTCAAAAAAGCACTTTAACTGGCCTGTTGACATTATAGTCTGCACAGGACAGGATAGTGTAAATAAAACCCCAGGGTAGCTACATGCTGCCTTAGTTAATTCATTTTCAGAAGCCATCAATAAAAATTGATTTATTTACTTCAAATGGGCACAGTATATAGTCTGAATAGTGCCATTGATGAAAACCAATGAATTGAATATTTTAAAGTGAGCTAGAGATTATTTTAAAGACTAAGCTTCTATTCTTAATTTTTCAGTCACTCAGACTCACTGATGTGAACTTAAAATTTTACAAGATGCACCATTCAGTATATTTTTAATTCTAAGAAGATATTTAATTCTATTTTCAGCTTAGCAAAGTTACAAAAAAATAAATAATTAAATTAAGATTAAAAGACCAACACAAATAAAGGGGCAATATTTCATATTGATCATCTAACTAAATACTTGATATATCATTCATTAGATTAAAAAAAATGATTAGTTTTAGCCATTAGAAAAATATTACATTAGGGTGCACACAACACAGGTGTGTTAATGAATTTTACTTGCTGCTTTGATCCCCTTCTAACATCTGATGCTGTTAGCTTGATCAATACTTTGATTCCAAAAACATGAAACATGGTAGTTTGCGGAAGACATCTTGACTACTCATGCATTTATCTTTGGTTTCAACACCTAAAAAAATCCCCATCCAAATCACACTTTCGGTTTCCTGGAAAAATTGCACAGTATAGTGAGTGTGTGTGTTTATGTGTGTGTTGTTGAGGAGTTGATTCTCTTGTTTTATACAATTATTTCTATTTTTCTTAACAGCCAACACTGATGTTTCAAATGCATGTATAGTATGGGATTGATTACACAGAAAAAAATGACTATACATGCAAAAGAAATCATTTGCACTAAAGATAAAATAAGACGATGAAATAATTGTAAGGCCTGTTTTAGAAGATATAATATCAATACAGTACATAGTACTGTTAAGTTTGTAAGTGTGTGAGTTGATGTTTGATCCCTTCCGGCTGATTAATGAGGTCTGATTTTTTTCTGTGTGTTTGTTGTAGTTAAACAGTATTCTGACATTGATATAAATTGCAAAAATTTTGGACTTACTTGTACTTGAAACATCCCTTCTAACTTACCCCCGGATCACAAAAATTGCCATGTCCAAGCTGTACACTGTTCATTCCCTCTTGAGTGACTGTGGTTATGGGAGACCAGAAAACATACTAGGCTCTTCTGAATTTTTCCCCTATATCATTATTATTCAGTATTCATTGCTAATCTTGTCTGCTGCCCATAGGGAATGATAAATGAGAACATTGGGAGAAATGAAATGAATTCTTCTGCTCATTAGTGGCCCCAATTCACCCAGGATGCACCTATAAATTGAGAAAGGCTTTAGTAAGATTTAAAGTATTTCTTTCTGGCGCATCATCTTAATCATCAAACTATCATATAACTCTAAGACTTTCCTGTTGACAGTCAAATTGAATTGATCTCCCTCTTTGGGATGCTGATTAAAGAAATCATTTTTGGGTTTAATCTGTTGAAAGATCAGATTTCTGAGGGCACAAAATTGGCTTTGGGAAACAATTTCTGCCTTTAGAAGTTTGCTATAAAGGTGGCTTTCTGTCATAAAGTCTTTTTGTCCAAATTTTTGTCATGGCTGCAAAGCAGGAAGAAATTCAAGAAATGCAGTATGAGGTGGCCCAGCTGCGCCATGAGGCAGCGTTAGAAAGATGGCCGGTATCCAAGGCCCTCAAAGAGTAAGCCTGTGTTAAAAATTTCTCTTATCCGTCATAAGCTGAGGGAGTTGCATTAACACACCAGTCATCAACTTGAGTGAGTTTTGTGTTTGAAATACTTTGTAAGTATGTATTTTGTGTAGAATTTATTTGTGGTCTTGTTATTTTTTTTTTAGGCTTCTGACATACACAAATCAAAATGCACCCAGTGATGTGCTCTTGAATGGAATCTCACAGTCAGAAAATCCTTTCCGTGATCAGAAGAACTGCACTATACTGTAGGAAACGGACAAAATGGTGGTATGTACATGAAAACTTGTTAATTGTTTTCATACCTATCAAACAAACATATTCTTGTACAATGTTAGAGATATTTGGTCAAATTTTTCAAGAATATATATATATGAAGGAGATTAGACGCACTAGGTATTAGATTACATTTCCATTGATTTGTAATTAGGGTACATCAAGTAGATAAGACAAAATGATCAGCAATTTTATCTTTCGTTATCAGAAAACGAGTTATATAAGTGATTTGTTAGCCATATAATGTCAGAATAGATATTTGAATATCTCTGAAGTCATAGAGGTCCATACTGACTGCTAATGTTGGATGGGGAATGATATATGAATATTTGAGGAAAAAAACGTTGATTGCTACCTTAACACCAGTGACCTGTTTTTAAATTTCCTGAACAATGGGAGCCAGGGAGGTTGTTTTGAAACCAACAATACTTTAGGCTTTGAAAAAAGTTTTATTTAAAGCTTACTACAAAAATAACACTGTTACTAGAATATTTTGTTATTCATAGCAGATAATTACCTTGCAGAATAATTTCAACATACTTGGACTGAAATTCAGTCTTTATGAGGGTACTGCTCTGATGGACTGTATGTTTTGTTTCTGTTTTTTTTTTCCTTAAAGAAAGCTTTTAATTCATGCCATTTCATCTTTATACTAGTAGTTTTTACTTTGCTAATGGCACTTAAGGAGATAATCTGTTTTCAAAAATAAAATGATTTTAATATCAGTAAGATAATATTGTTTTTGTTTTCATTTCAGATATGTCTCTGGACCTCTTTGGATCATTGTCTCACTATGCTAGTGCAGTCATCTTTGTGTGAATCCGTCATCTATATACAGCAGCTTGTAAAATGGAAAGCATGAATAGCGAATTGTACATGTCTCTGTAACTCACAGGTGTTGTTGGTATCAGTGTAACAGTATATTTGTATGTATGTACAATCAAGAACTTTACCTAATAATCAATTCATTTAATTTTTTTATGAAAACATAATCATAAAGAACTTCTGATGGAGTGAGACTATACTTGTTTAGAATGGGGACCAGCCCAGTTAGTGAATAGGGAGATAAAGCACACTGACGGATTATACCCTCATTGATTGGATTACTTGGAACTGGAACTAGAAACTGGAATTCAACAGACTTTAATCTCTTTGAAAGTCAATATCATTTTAAAAACTTGGAGCAAATATAAAAACCATTTGATACCAAGCATTTAAAATGTTGACTGGTTAGTTAATGCAAAATTCCTTATTCGCTAATTAAGACGCACATGGATTATCATATTCACCAAGCTTTTGGCCAGTGCTGAAAAACAGTTAAAAATTTAGAGCAATTTTTTTTATATATGCAAAAGTATATTTATATCAATAGTCACCAACATTTTGGATTTTTTTTTATCATGATAAACTGTTTAACATTTTATTCTAAAAATTTCAGTTTCCCTAAACTTTACATCAGCACATTATAGTATATGTGTAAGTCAAAGAATAATGTGAGGCAATTGTCAGCTTCCCACATAAACTCGTTAATTAGAATAATTCTTGACCTAAAATGCCATTTTCTCATATCAGAACTATGTCTAGAAGCTTATCTTTTCCAGAAAGACATCCTATGTTACATACTTTTGTTTTCACAACTGCCTCTAATATTAGACACTTCCTGCTAACAACCATGCATCATAAAAATCTCAAAATGTATGCATTTTGTTCGAGAGTATATATCCTATCTTTAAAGGTAAAGAGTGAACTGCCAAAAAAAATGTTGTCTTTTCAATTGAGAAGGGCAGTAAATATGACAAGGTACCTTTGTTATAGACATTTACCTTGAGAGAAATGCAAAATAATATAACACCTTTTCAGCTAGTTTCATGGTGCACAAAGTGATATTAGATTAATTTTTCTTTCTTTTATATGCTGAGCTGTAATCTTTAACTAAAGAGTGGTTGAGGGTGGATTTTTACCTTTTGAAATATCTTGTTTCTGCTAGATTTTGTCATGTTCAATACTGTATTTTGTATTGTGATCTGTGTAAATTAAGTTTGATTTTAATTGAAAATAAATATGGGATTCCTAGATATATTCTATAATTTCAGGATTTCTAAGTATAGAAAAGACTTATTGTTTATTCTTTTTGACGCCCAAGTTTATACATGAATATGATATCTGAAACTCATTTGGCAAATTTTACTTCTATGATTTCAGTATGTGGTAACTTGCATTGCTTTTGGGGCAGGTCTTAATCAAGTTGAAGCAATTTTTCCGTAAAACCTTAATACAAATAGTGTGAAATAGTTTAAAATGATATTGTCAAATCCACCCATTGTGTTAATTAATTTCATGGGTGTTTGCAAAATTGATTATTTCGTATAAAACTAGGTTCTGATAAGAAAAGTTTGATGAAAATTTAGTTCTTATCATATTTCATGCCATAAACTAAAACCTGGGATGTCGAATTGGCCTTTTAAGTTTAAGTTTGAAATTTTAGAAAGTTTCATTTTAGTATGATACCGTTCTTTTTTTTTTTCTGTGAGAAGTCTCAGAAGTGTATTTTATGATGAAAGGTTGGGAATTGAATGAATGAAAATCTAAATGTCATTAGAACAGTGTATTTAAATACTTATGTATGAGCCATTTTCCTTTGGCTTATTCCCAGTATTTCCTTTTTTTTCAGATTCTTGAATGTATAATTGATCCTTATGGATCAGTTTCCCCCCAATCATTATCAATATACATGTAGTAAAATATGTAGTCTTGTTTGTCATACTTTTTTCTGAATAAATGTTTTATGCACTTTATTATATGACTTCATATGAAATATCTCAACGCAGATAATAAGCATGTTAACAATTTCGAAGAGAATTGATAGTCAACAAGTTTTATTTTAAGCATAGATAAAAACCACTGGAAAAGAAATGTTCTGTTCAATTTTGTTGTATTGATTTGTGTGCTTGTAAAAACTTTATTGCAAAAGCTTTAAAAGAAACATTAACATGCAAATGTGGAAATGCGTATTAAAGTTTAAGGTTTAACACGGTACATTTCCAAAGGGTATTTTTTACACCTGCTGACCCAGGTTTGCTGACCCCTTCTTTAGAA